AAAGAAGGGTTCAAAATAAACATATTCCCAGTAAACAAAAACAACTTCTTCCAAAACGTCACATTTCCCTAAAAATATTTCCCTATTGGTGAATGCGCGCGCTTACTTTGATCAAAGTACTTTGATCGTGTCAACCCACCTTCATTCCGAGTACGTCCAGCTCAAACATTTTCGCCATTTTCAATCACGTTCAAAAAGCGGGCATCCAAGCAGTTGGCGATAGATTTCGTTTGGCAATCACCCATTTCAGCTGATCGCCAAAGTTTAGGGTTATAAGAGGGCGGTCAGCCAAGACAGTGCGTTGTCTGAATCCGATATCTCTGGGCTTCTTTCAAGCAGAAAGCGAAAGACGGAAGCGTTACGAATATGATATAAGATAAATGTAGGGTGGCAACAACTATTTCCCGGAAAACGGAAATTTGAACAGCCGTCATGCAATGTTGTCGTGAGAAATTAGGAATCGGTTTTGTTGTGTTGGGAAAATGAAAAACATATTAACATATTGAATCGTATCACTCCATTAAAATAATTTTATGCTGTTTAAAATTTGCATGATGCATGAAATTTTAAAAGTTTATAATGTATTAATTTCATTTAAATAATTAGTATTTTTTTAATTATTAAATGTATGGAAGTGTAATTTCTTAGCGTAGGAAAATTTACTTCTTTGCATAATAACTTCTAAAATTCTGATGGTGCCCCAAATATTTGATCCATATTATTTTAAGTGAAGTATTTAGTATGAATGGCAAGAGTAAATTTTCAAACATTGGTACATTGGAAAAAAGTAATATTAATATCAAAGAGATTCGAAAAAAGTTTGAGAATTTGTCTACAAATGATGATTTTGAAATAAATAATGAGCAGTCTACGTCAAAAATTCCTATTCCACCTCTTCGTAAGAATAAAAGTAACTCTCGAGATAGTAAAATAAAACAATTGGATGACAAAAATTCCGTTAAAAAAGAAACTTCTGGAACTCCTTGTGAAAGAAAACCATCAGTAGTAAAGCTATTAGATGATAAAAATTCCATTAAAAGAGAAACTTCTGGAACTCCTTGTGAAAGAAAACCATCAGTAGTAAAGCTGTTAGATGACAAAAATTCTGTTAAAAGAGAAACTTCTAGAACTTGTGAAAGAAAACCATCAGTAGTAAAGCTGTTAGATGACAAAAATTCCATTAGAGGAGAAACTTCTGGAACTCCTTGTGAAAGAAAACCATCAGTAGTAAAGCTATTAGATGACAAAAATTCCGTTAAAAGAGAAACGCCAGGCACACCTTGTGAGCGGAAACTATCAGTGAAAGAACGCACTAAAATTTTTGAAACCAATCCACCTGAATTTCCCACTGGAGAATTAAATTCTAATGTTTCTGAGACTGATTCCTCAAAAGTACCTCAAAATGTGCATAAGCAAAACGCATTGTACATCAATATGGAACACAACAGTCAAATGCTGCTTACGCCCCCTGTAAAACCTCCTAGAAGCTATCATCTTTCCGAAATGAAAAATCAAGCATCTAGTCATGCATTGAAAAACATATCAAAAACTACTGCAAATAGAAGATGTTCATATAATGAGCCCAGTAAAAATCATGTTCCTAAGCCCAGAAATAGTTCCTCATTCAGTTCTAATTCTAAAGTGGATAAAAATGATTTATGTAAATCTGCTAGGCCTGATGTTAGTGAATCCTGTAGCAGTTTGACTCCAAAGTCTCAAAATATTGCTGCCAAAACACATTCCATTATGAATTGTTTGAAAAATATATCAATAGCTGCTAACAACATTCGGGAGAAAATGAAACAGTCCAGTGTATTTGTTGATTTGACACCTACAACTGTGAGTCCGCCTAAACATTATGGAACATTAAAGAGAAGTCATAGCGAAGAACATATTTATGCTGAACCTTATGAAATTTTGAAAAAAGATATTGAAAAATCGCCAAATGTTTCCAAAAATGGCCAACCTTTACACTATATGGTATATTCAATTTTATCTGTATTTTAATTTTTTTTCTGAAAGTTTTCGGAGAGATTTTGCAAATTGTTTGTTTTATGTTTCCGGTAAAATCCTAGAATAGCCCTCCTCTTGGCTACTTTTTGAAATCTTGTCAAGTTGGCGATTATTACTTCTATAAACGTTGATTATTTAAAAAAAAAAATTTAAATTATTACAAATTTGTTAAAATATTTTTATTGAAATAAAATAAGAAATAACTTACCTTTACTCTGATGGCTCATCTCCACATTTAAGGCATTCATACATTTTCGAAATTAAATTTTGATTCAAACACCATTCAATAATCGCCCACTTGCCTCTTGTATTCAATAAAGTTAAAAATTCACTCATCCATTCACTCGCCATTTTCAACCGGTACTGCACGAAAAAGAATTAAAAAATGAAATGATAACTGTAGCCAGGTGTCTGTCCAGGCCAAATTTACTGCCGTTTAGCAATGCGTTCACAAATTCAACTTTTAGGAAAAACGGTAGTTTCACAAAATATTTTTTCTTAAAATTTTATTTTTGCATCCCGTAAGAAATGATAAATCCATATTTTTATCATATTTTTGTGTTGATTTTGTAACATAATTTTTAATTTTCACAAAGTATGTCTTAAGTTTTCACAAAATAGGTACCTCTCAGAAAAACCTAGACAGACCCCTGGTAACTCAATAAGAGATCGGAAGAACATAAATGGCTAAAAAAGAAACCTTTTTACCTCTTTTCTAACAAAATCCAACTTTTGCGTAGGTATACATATAAATTAACCAATCAGGTTTAAAAATTTTGGAGCGGACTTCGAAAAGTTTTCAAAAACTAGTAGGTCGGAGGACGGGTGGTTGGTTCTGAACAGCCGGTGAGGTCGGACGTTCAAAATAGACGCCCTGTAAAGTTGTTACATATTTCCCCAAAATATCTTCCAGAAACCTAGTTTGGCGAGATTTCAAAAAGTCGCTTGGCAAGATATTAAAAAATCACCACGTGGTGTGCTACTCTAGGATCCACTCACGTTTCCTACAATATCATTCTTATTTTCTACCTATTAGCAATAATTCAATTTACAGGGACATTTTTGTGCTAGTGCTAGGGAGCTCCATTAGCTTTAGAATTAAGGGAAACTGCAACGCTTTGCAAAATCTCTCTAACGGTACTACTTTGATTTGGAAGGCCAAAAAAAAAATCTGAATCCTAATCTTGAATAATTAATTTAATGAGGGGGCCTAAATTTTTTTAATTGCTTCCAGTATCGTAGGAAATGTTGTATTCCAATATGGTATTGAAAGAAATGTTTAATGCTATTTTTTGTAATTGTAATATGCTATAATTGCCACATAAACTCACAATAATACAGTTAGTAATCCTGAACACTTAAGAGTTCTGACCTGAGTTGGTGTTATAACTCAAGAAATTCATTTAAAAAAAATTAAATTTCTTACCTATACGAAGTAGTTTATTGTATATAGTTATGTGTAACTAAAGAAAAGCAGTGGTATTATTTTTAGAAATATGTGCAAATGTTAGACAAAACTGCTATTATATAAATATTTCTTTTTAATTGAAAATATTCCTTTAAAAATCATGTAATGTCTTAATTTCTAAGTCATGATCCCTCTGGATTTTTGAGCTATGTTTTGACTTTCAGTTCTCTTTTTTAATTAGCTTTTTTTTCCTTATAATTAGAAAGAAAGATAAATATTTTCTCCTCTACTAGTTATGCAGTTAACATTTGCTGTAGGATATATTTTTAGTAATTTTTTTAATAATAGTAATTCAACTGGCAAAAATATTTAGCAGTAATAGAGTTATTTCAGTTGAGTTCACTAAAAAAATTTGAACTCTTTTTAATGCATTATATGTTAACGAAGTTGAAGAATTATTATTATTATTAAGGGAATATTTCTGCATTGTGATCTGTGGCAGAATAATCTCCAAATCTTGGTAACTTCCAGGCAGTGACTAATGAAAAACTAAAAAAAACTTCTCAGAAGGGGTCTAACTCAAAAGGTATAACTTGTAGCCATCTCAGTGAAAACCTCTAAATGTTTTTTTTTTTTTTTAAATTGCAAATTCAATATCTATATGACGTCTTAATGATTGAAGTTGGCGTGACACATCACAATACGGACATTGACCCCGCTATTTATTTACCTAAAATACAATTATTTATTACTAATATACCAGGTGCCTTCAGAATGTCAGTCGGTATAAATAAATAAATAAAAAAATGGATGAAGAAAGACATGTATGGTTCGCTTCATTCTGCTTTTAAAACTACAATATTTTTCTCATCAAGATACTAAATTATTTACAAGGTTCGTCAATGTATAGTGTTACTAACTAATAAAAGCACTAAAACCCTGTTTTTACGAGAATTGCTATTTACACCAACTACATACAACATGGCAATATTTGTGGACAAAATTAATAGATGCTTGTATAAATATTTAAGTTGAAATGTAATAAAAAAATACTTTATAATTTTGTTAGTGTTATCTTCTAATAAACTTTTTTACTAATTTTGCAACCTGTTAAAAAATTGTTTGTTTTCCTTAGAAGAATGAAGTAAATTATATACAGTACAGAACCCGTTATCCGGAAATCAGAAAACCGGAAAACCAAAAAACCGGAACGAAATTCGATAAATTTTCTCGCCATTTTTTAAAAAAAATTTTTTTTTCCTCATAAGATTTTACGATTTTTCTTTCTTTTTTTAAAGATGTTTACCTTACCATCATTTTGGAAATAATCATTAGTGTATTACTTCATCGTTTTTTCTTATTTTTAAAATTATTTCCAAATATTTTTTTTTTTAGTTGGGTCTAACAATAAAAAAAACGGCTTTTTGTAGCGATTCAGAAAACCGGAAAAATCAGTTATCCGGAATAGCGATGGTCCCGACCGTTCCGGATAATCGGTTCCCTACTGTATTTCTATCTTTTTTGATTTTCTTTTAATTTTTTAATCAATTTTAGTTTTGACCTTGCCTGATAATATAATGATCAATAATTCATTAAGTTTCTTTTACTTGTAATAATGTAGTATTTTAAAATTTTTTTTTTAGTGTACGCCTCTTATTAAGCCTAAATTACCAGATAAAAATCCAGAAAAAAGTAGACTTAGTCGAGAACATGTAAGTAACATTTTCCTGTAAGTTCCTTTTCTTTTTCTGTTCTGAATCAAACAAAGTAATTTTGAGTTAGACTTTAAGATGTAAAAGTTTCATTCATTTGCTTATAAATTTTACTATTGGTTTTTTAAGGAATTGTAAAAATATTGAATAAGAAATTAATTATTTTTTGTTTAAATTCCTGTTTTAAATGCCTGTTATTTCTATGTGTTAAAAAATAGACCTTAAATATTTTTTCATGTTTACTGATCTGTTTATTTCTCTGTTTAGTTTATTCATCTGTTTATTTCTATTTTAGTATTATGCTTAAGAAAATAATTCAGTCTATCTTTACCTAAAATTGTACCTTATTCAATGTTTAAAAATATATAGGGAATTTCCAGCAATTTTTTGGTAGATTGTATCGTTTGGTAATTCACAAGGTAATCTAAAATCTTGTTTTTAACTACACATTATTGGAAATAGTTTTTCACAGATTAGTTAAGTTCTAAAATTCATGTGCTTGAACATGGCTTGCAAATTTATGTTCTGAAAGACAAATGTAGATTTGAAGAATTGAAACTAGATTACTTTATATTGAATATCGAGTTTTTGTATTGATGTCTTTTTTAAATTATATACAGGCGAGTCAATTTTGTCGTTTTATCAACACGTTTTGTTTTAAGAATTGATACCCATTTTTTGTTTGTTTGTTTCAATTTTGTTGCTTTTCTCTTTTTTTTCGCGTTGCATTTTCATGTTATCCATATGTTAGTAATTTTTCTTCAGTCAAAAATTTTACTAATGATTTGTTAGTTTTAAGTATAAAAAATTTATTTAAATTTTTACTCTTTTATTAAAACTTAAAAGCTATACATTTATTTAATTAATTTATTGTTTTCATCTCTATTAATTTAAGGTAAGAACAATGATATATGATTCATTTGCACCTTTGCGAACTGTTCCAAAAGAAAATCAAGAATTGAAGGATACAATTCCAGGTATGATATTAACTACGATTTAGATTTGTTTTAAATGCCTATCTGAAGGAATGAGGAAATATTGTATTTTTATTAATTGGCGATCGAAATGGGCTGCAGGTGGCGTAGAGCAGAACTCTTTTCCTATGGCAACACTTCACATGCTTTCCCCATTAGCGTGTGGAAAGTCATAGAGGAAGGAAGTACGTTAGTTTCTCTCTTGATTTTCATATAGATTAAAATCTTTCAACTTGAAACACTATATGAAACTGAAAACTGCATTAAACATAGTTCTAAAGAAAAGTATCATGGAAATTTTAAAAAATATTTTGATTAAATAAAAAGGAAAAACGTTAAGAAAAGGGAAAATATCGTAGTATATTCCTATACAACTGAAAAGAGGAGGAGAGGGAAGGGAGAAGGGCTAAAGGCATGAAACCGGTCTCTCCCCAGATGGCGTATTCGAGTGTTGCGATCGCGAATATTCTGTTTTCCTTCAAATAGTGTTTTGAGGAAAATAACTGATAATTTAGAGAATAATGCATAAATAACTGAATCTTTCACAAATTTATTTAATTAACTGAATGTCATAAAAAGTAATGCTATGATTTAATAAGTCTAATTATTTATTTTTTATTGGAAATTTAAAATTAACTTATAGTAATTTTAAATTTTTACCACTGTCAAAATAATTTTTAATTTTGTCACAGAGATTTTTGAGCAATTAAGAATTGCTGATCAGAAGATAACGAGTTATGATTAAAGCTTGGATTTTGATGGCATTTTCCTTTATTATTATTATTTAATCAGTACTTAGAATCACCAGTCGTATTATTCTTCATGAACCCACACCCCAGGAAAATTACATTGATGATTGTTATATATTGAAACTAAATAAAATTTTTAATTGCAAAGGATTTTTTTTTTTTGTATTTTAAAGGCATATTTTAAATATATTTTTCAGGGCATTTATTACTGTATTTTAAGGTAGTTTTGAGGATTTTTTACATCATCAAAACATCAAAATCTGGGCTCTAGTAATGATGAATATTTAGCCGTTCAGCTTATTACTCAGCTCCTCTTAAATATCAAGTTTGCTAATCAACCTTAGCTAATCGTTATGATAGTTAAGCATATAGTTAATTTTTTTTATATTGGTAACCATAAAATCTAAATCCATATTTTAAACTAATTGTTTTATAAATGTAAACAAAAATTATAATTTTGAAAAAATTTTTGCTTCTCACAAGACTTTCTTAAATGTAAAGAATATTTAAAATTGAAAGGCTTAAAACTTCTTAATTAAACTTGTTTAGAAGTTATATTTTATTTTTCAGAAAATATTTTGCTTTAGCTAAAATAATTAACTGTAAAGTAACAGTAAGGGCACCAAAAGTTGAAATATAGATTTAAAGCTATATTGTCTTAATTTGTCAAATGGATATTCCCACTGCCCAAATTAGATGCCTGGGACTGTCTTTGCCTTGACAAGCCACTGACTCTAGACTTACAATTTTAATTTTTAGTTATCAATTTTTCAACCATATCAAATTCTCTTTTCTTTCTGTCCTTCAGCATGTGCTATAGTGATGAATTTGAAAGAGAATCTAAACAAATCAGTTGTATCTTTCATGTGAAATCATAACACAATTTAAATTATGTTTCTTTTTTTAAAGATGACAACACACTCTCCAAGTGTTAAATTATATCTAAAATTTATGTTTAAAATTAATATCAATAGATGGCGCTGTGCCAATTATTTACTTTCTCATATTTGTTATATTTTATTCCCTCTTGTGCTGTCCATATGAAATAAACGTTGTGTTCGTTTCTCCTGAGTCATATTTATTTGGGTATCCAAGTTTCTTTAGAGTACAGAATTATTACCAAGAATACCCACCTTCTATTTATTTACATATCTTTTCTCATGTTAAAATGGATTTTAATAAAAGGGAAGGCGTTTTGAATCATTTATTGCTTGAAATTTATTATTGTATAATATATTTCTTATCAAGCATGTAATTATTATTAATGTGTAAAATGTGCCGTAGAATATATTCAATCAAGTTTAAATTGTTTATTATAACATTGAGTGTATATTAACTACCTTCAATTATTATTTATTTATATATTTATTAACTAGTATCGTTATCTTTAATTAATTAATTTTCATACAATTATTTGAAAAAAAGTTCTATGGTAGAGAAAATTAAATTTTTTAATGTAAGCTTCTGTTTTACAGATTCATCAGAAGCTGACATGAAAGCGATTCAGGCTCGAATTATTTACGTTAAATCAATAAGACAGGTCAGTTACTGTAATGTATTTTATTTTTGTATATAATTACTATTGTTTCAAATTATTTTTGTAAATTATTTATAATTTCAAACATTATATATTTTAGAGACTTCTATTGATTTAGCAAAATTGATGTTAAAAAATGCTTGAATATTTAACTCTGATTTAACTAAAAAGACTCCTGAGTGTTTTTTAATTTAGATATTTCTCATAAACAAATGTTGAAAACAATATTTTTACCTTTTGTAGTTTTTTTTTAATAAATTATTTTATTATTCTTTATTGTTAAACTTTATTATTGTTTGTTATTAAACTTGACTTGCTATGACTTTTCTATTGGCATTGAAACAATGAAAATAAGGAAACCCATTATAAAGCTATAATACTTTATGTAATGCATTTAACCTGAAGAAAATCAGTTCAGATTTTATATCTTAGTATATTCTTTTCCTATTAAGTAACAGGTAAGGAGATGGGTAACCAGTTTGTTATGGCAAGAAAACAGTCACACTCAAATGTTAAAAATTCTGGATCAAAGTGTTAAAAATGCTCGTATGTTACATAATGCATTGCAATCTATCACACTTTTACAAGTCATATTTAAGCTATTAAATATGCAATTTTTCTTTAAAGTTATTAAGTATTAGTGTAAGGATAAATATTAATGTTGTCATTAGAGGGAAATTTTCTTATTTATTTTTGTAACTGACAAGCAATTGTAAACAATGGACAATGCATATAAAAAAAAAATATATAAATTTTTTTCCAATTTATCTATTGCCATTTTTATTTTCTAGGTATCAGGCTCTAGTATTTGTCTTGCTCCTAAGTTGTATGAAGCTTTATATATCATCAATGTAACTGAAAATCAACCTGAAATTTCCTATTCCTTTCCTTTGAAAGTATGTTTTCAATACATTTTCCTTTTTATTGTTTTTAAATTATTTTTTGTCAAATTTTTTAATAATATTTTTTATGGTTAATTTATAAAGTTGTTACTTAGTTTGTTTAGTTTTATATTTAGTATTTATCAAGGATGTTGTTCATTTGAAATTTGTTTTTAAGTTATAGATATTTAGAGCTTAAACTTATGCTTAATTGAATTTGTTATTGTAAATGTTATTGTTCTTCTGTCTTTAATAATTATATATTAAAACTTGCATTTGTCTATTATATAATTGTGGCCTGTCTCTCTGTATATAATTTTTTTTTCATCATCATTTAATTAAAGTTTCCTATTATAAATTTGTTTTTATATTGTATTAAATATAATTTGGTTTACAATTAAAGAAAAGAATTGCATTATTCTTATGCTGATTAACTGGCTATTTATTAAATAAAACTTTATATTTTATTGTATTTAAAATGATTTTTTTGACATCTATGTATTCTTATAGGTTCCTGAAACCTATAGATATCCTTTATTACCTCACATTTGTTTTCCTAATGATCTTCTCTTTAAAAGTGTGTCTACATATCAAAGGTATGACTTAGTATAAGTTATTATAATTTTGTGTGAATTGTTATTCTTTATTTGTACCTACAGTATAACAATAGCCTTAACAATTTAAACTGCTTTGGGCCTTAGAATGTCTGTATATTGCAAAATTATGGATTTTAGATATTTTAATTTTATGCTGTTTGAGTTACTGTTCTACAATTCTGAAAAGTTAAGTTTGATTCTATCATAGATTTAAGTGATTATTTGCTCCTTATTTTAAAAGTATTTCTACGAATCTCTGCATGGTTTTTAAAATTTTTTATCTTTCAATATGGCTTCATGACACAGAAATTTCGAGTCATGCTGTTGAGTTATTTTATTTTTTTTATGCTCACAACTCCTGACTTTTTTTATGATTTAAAATTCGCATGTTAAATTAATGTTCGATTAAAAATATAGAGATTTTGAAAACAAAGAATAAATGCATCTAAATGTTTTTTAAAAAAACTAAAACCATATGACTACATTAATATGGGATTTAATCATCATGAATTTAAACAATCTGCTTTTGCTACGATAGACTTGATCATAAATTTGAGTGTTTTTATTTTCATGTTTTTATATTCTTTATCAGGAAATTATTGCTATGGATTTCCACATTGTTTTTAAATTCTTGATTCTTTAATATATCATCATAAATTGATTTCATTATGAATTCATCTGTGTTATCTATTTTTTTTACAGGAGTTTTTGCTGTGGGTTTTTAAAAATTTTGATTTCTTTTTTAAACTGCTTGGTGGACTTCTGTCAGTAATCCTTATTTGACAAGCTCCATTTGCATCAATTTCAAATCTGCATGGTTTCTTTGATTATTTTTTTTAGTGGTTATTGCTATGGATTTCCACATAGTTTTTAAAACCAATTTTTTAAGTATGATATTTGGACATAAATTTTGTCATCTTGCTTCTAATTTGAATTCCTAATTTATTTTTCAACACAAATCGAAAAAATTGTTTGGATATCAAAGATTTCAGGATTTTAGATGTCTTGATTTATGAGATTATATTTCCTATATTACATACATAATGCTACGAAGGCATCTACATTTAAGTTGGGCTAGTTTATTTTATTATGTTTTTCTATTTGTAAGCAAATGAGTCATTGCAAAACACATGTGGTAAAAGTTTTCTTCAAACACTTATTCTTATTTTGTGGTTCACAAGTTTTTTTTCCTCGAAATTCTTTATTTTATTTTTCTTTTAATATTATTTTGATTTTAACAATATGATTAATACATATTAGCATGTAGTTATTGCTTAACAGTAAATAGATAGAAATGTTTTTAACTTCTAATAAAAGTTTTCAATTAAATTTTTTGATATTATTTTATCAGGACTGTGCACAGATTAATAAAAGTAAGTAATGTTAGGGTTTTTCAAAAAATTAAAAGTTAATAAGTATTTTTTTCTGAGTTTTGTAGTATTTGATTATGTAAAGTGTTATGTATATTTTTGTTTTAAAATTTATCTGAAAACATTCTATTTAATTTTTAGACACATGTTTACTGTTACTAATTATGTGTTGCTTAGGAAAGTTCATATACACCCCATTCTAGCAGTATTGTACCTTAAAATTATTTATTTGTTATAATTTTTTGCAATCGTTTTATCAGTTACATATAATGACTTCAATAATACTTTATATTTTAATTTTTAGCGAAACATTTTATTTTACTCTTCTTGATAAAGGGGAAAAAGTTTGGGGATATTGTCTCAGGATAACAGTAAGTATCTTTTGACTTATTTATAATTTTAATGTAAATAAGTCGAATTATCATTAAAATTAGAATTTTTTATGTAATTGATGGGTATTGTAGGGTATTGTTGCTTCCAATAATAATAATTTTTGATAATGTTTCTCAATCGCATCTGTTGCAGATAGTAATAACAGCTGCAAGTAAAAAATTGCAAGAAAGGAGCTGTAAGAATAGTCTGTTTTTGCTATACTGTAAGAAATATGTAAAGATGCGATAAAATTTATCCACATAATTCAATGAGTGCTGCTTAATCCAAATTTCTATTAGGAAATAGCTGAAACCATAAATATGTCTTTACTAACGGAGATCCTTCTTAAACAGAACTACATTATTAAAAAACTGCTGTAGTTTGTAACTGTCTTTAAAAGTGATTGTCTCGGGACCTGATAAGTTATATTACTATTAATATGCTGATTAAACATTATTTAGAAATGAATTAATATAAAATATACTCATAAATTTTATGATGTATTCATTTAAAGTACTATATAAAAAATAATAAATAGTATATATATCTATGCATATATGAATTTAAATTAGATTCATTAATTATATGCAATTAATTTTCAAAATAATATGTATATTCATATAAATGTGTGTGTATATATATATAATTTTTCGAAAATTACACCAAATGTGAAAAAATTCTGATTGGTGTGTATTTTTTTATCCTTACATGAGTGATCAAGTATGTAAGTATTTAATCAAAAATGCTGGTTTAGCAACCCCTCAAATTTTGATTATAAATAAGAATTAATAAAGGAGAGGTAGCTTATTCTTTTTCATTCCATAGTCATGCTTATTTTTACTTAAAAAAATGCACTCCAGTTGCAGTATATAAATAAAGTAAATAAATAAATATTTAAGTTAAAACTGAAATGTGAAAGCAAAAACAAAAATGTTATCATTTAATAACTCTGACTTAGTGTCTGCTTTGAATTACATTAATACAGTTGTATAAATATGTTTTATTAATGTAAATAATTTTGAATGTTCAAATTTTTATTCAAGCATGTATTTTTAGACTAACATGCCTGGCAAGGTATGTAAAACTTCTGAGTTTTTTCAAGTTTTTATATATATGTATATTCATTTGTTAATGATGTGATCAATTTATTTTTCTAGGGGTGGCCTGATAAAGGACTGGACTTCGATAATTTGTGTGTTAAGCTCCCAGTTGCTATCTGCATTTTAAGTTGCTTTTATGCCCCATTGTTTTATAAAAGGGTATGTTGTAATATTCTTTTTTTAGTTTTATTTTGAAATTCATTTTTAAATTATGCTTATTTGTATTTTTTTTAAAAAAGGAAACAAATTCAATTTTTAACAAATGTGAATTCAAGGGATTTACTATTACTAAGATACAGATCCACTTGTTATTTGCATTTTAAGTTGCTTTTATGCCTTGTTGTTTGGAAAATGGGGTTTGTTTTATTATTCTATTTTTTTAGTTTTATTTTACAGTCAGTCCATTTTTAAATTATGCACATTTGTATATAAAAAAAACAAAACAATTTTTAATAAATGTGGATTTACTATTATAGATATATAAAACTTGCCATTAAAAAAAATATTAGGTGTTTGCATTAGCACCCAAAAACATGGAAATAGTATTTAAACTTATTAAAGTATTTGTTTGGTACGACATCATAAATTTTTTAATGTGAGATAAAAGTATGAATTTCTTCTGACTTTTGATGGAATTTCCGACCCATAGCAGAATTTACTGATTCAATCTGCAGCACCAGATGGTGCTGCAGATTGTTTTGATTATTTCATAAATCAAAATTTGTGATTAACCGTAACGTAATCAGGTAGGTACTATTATCATGCAAATTTGGCTTACCCAAACATGTATAAAGCAGAACTTGACTTCACAAATTTAAGGAATATAAAAAAAAAGAGAAATGTATGTTGTTTAAATTTAATTTGAATTATATGAAATTATACTTAAAGGTTACACAGCACAGCCAAAAAATGCATATCATTCCTTCAAGTTATAATGCAGAATATTCTATAATGTTTATATTTTTCAACAAAGATCACAGAGGAATTTCCTCAGAGTTTCTTTGCAGTACTTTATCTTAGTAGAAATTTCTTTGCTGCAAATTAAAATCTCTTTGAAGATCTCAGATAAAAAATAATCTGCAGACATTCTGATAATCTGTAGCACCCGCTGCTGTGCTGGAGGGTTTCTGCTGCCAGGTTACCAACTTTCTAAGCTTTAGAAAAAAATGTTAAATGTCTATTTTTTTCTTGATGTTTCTAAGTTTTGTTGTTGTTGTTTTACTTTATTGTTATTTTATTCTCTTTGATATGATTTATATAGAAAGCTTAACAGCATATTAAACTGTTAATGTACGCAAATAGTTAAGAATTTTTTTTAAATAATCTTAATGTATTTTTTGTGAAAAATAGTTTCACATGCTTTTTATTTACTGTAACTTGATAGTTATTTTTAGAATTTTTGTTCTTTTTTCATTCTTATTCCTGGACATGTTTGCTAATTTTAGTTAGAAAATGAGACTGGTATGACTGATGTGTTCATTGATCTCATATTGTGCCAATAAACACATCGCCAAACCCATTTATTTACATTTATTGCAATGTACTATAGTGTTTCTAGTTGTGTAGGATAAAATGATCTTCATAGCACAGAACTGTTAGTCATTATTTTCCTGTTTAAATCTTTATAAAAAAAAAAGTACAACATATAGAAAATTTCTTTAACTTATTAAAGAAAATATTTTTATATTCACAGTGGAAAATAATGAGATGCATTTTACATAATTACGTAGCTCAAAAGATTTCATAACGTCAAAATGTTTCATATTTGTCAAAGAAGGTACTCAATAGGAGTTGTTTATGGCAATTTTGGTTTTGTAGTTCAAGTCCACTATGCCTCAATCTTATTTTATGCTCTTTTTAAAAATATTTATCTTCTTTTTTTAAAGCTTTTACTGGAAATTGAAAAACACATAACTTTACCTCGAGTGAAATGTTTTAAGTACATCAGATCTCTCCAGAAACTAGGTGTTCCTAATGCGGGTGCTAGTGTATCTATTCCTGATTATACTGAGGTAATTAAATATTCTATAAGTATTATAAGAATTTTTTATTTTTTAAAATTTCATCAACACTGTTTATAATTTTTTTGTTATTTATTAGTCTGTTGAAGATAACAGGGTTGTTATTTCAAGACCATTTGATTCTCATACAGTTGGAGTAAGTTATCTTATATTTTAAATTATTTTTAATTTTAAGTAATTTTAGTAAATTGATGTGAGTGTGGGTAAAAAGAAATTATAGGTTCTGTTATAAAGAAATTAATAAAATAGAATAGCTTTAGTAACAGTGTATGGCGACTCTTAATTATGTTAAACAATGTAAATACAGCAGAAAATGCTAAACAATGCAAATAAAGCACAGAAAAGACAAACTATAACTTTGGTTCTTCATTTGATTATCAAGCCTCTTCCTCATTGTCGAAGCACAGAATAATTGCAAATAAAAACAATGGAAAGAAGGCAAATAAACTTACACCAGAAAGTCCATTATGCCAAAATAACCAAACTTCTCATTCGGTGTTTCAACACTGATGAGAGTTTTTTTTAAAATAGAATCAAAGCTGTTTCATGTCTGTTTTTTTTTTTTTTTTTTTTTTTTTTTTTTTTTTTTTTTTTTTTTTTTTTTTTTTNTTTTTTTTTTTTTTTTTTTTTTTTTTGCATTTTATTTATGTTGCTAAGCTTTATTCCATTAGAATAATTTAAGTAAGATATTAGTTATTTGTTGCACAGCAAAGGTTTCTAAATCTAATAAAATATTCTCTTTTTAAAAAAGTAAATTTATACAATATATGTATACATATTTTCTTTTTATAAAAATGTGTTTGTATAAATGTAATGCACTTTTTTTACTAAATAAGCATTAATAACTATTTTATTTCTATAAAAATTGCCAGTTTATTTTCTTCATATTTCTCAATATTTTAATTTACTAATAAACTTTTACACCTTTGTTTATTTGAAAATAATTTATGCATCACAACTGTTATTATGATTTGATTCTTAATTTAACGAAAATGAGTTTCCAAATTAAGAATCCAAAATCTAATTACTAGTGAATTTTTTATGATGAAAATTATTTCATTTTAGTTTGAATTAACTAGAGCACTACAACTTCTAGATGTTGACATCCTTATGAAAACTGTTTCTTCCCTGCTCTTAGAACGAAGAGTTCTTCTTATTTCATCTTGTGTTAAGTACGTTCATTAAGTGTTAAACATTTAGCATCTGGATTTAATATGAAAATTTTCACTTATTTTTAAGTTGAAATTTACCAATACATAAATGTAAAAAAAAAATTTTTAATTTTTGATTCTGGATTTTTGACGTGATAGTTTCTTCCAAACGCTAAAAAATTGATCCATGTTTAAAACTTTATTATAACCTAAATTAATTAAATAATAATAATCAAGTTTTCATTTTCTATTAGGTTTTATTCAATTTTGATCTAATTAAGCAAATTAAAATCTTTGTTACAAAATTTTGTGATTTATTAGTATTAGTTTGCCTTGCATCTTGTTAAGCTTTTTTGGCACATGAAGTTATGGTTTTCCTGTTCTAGCCTTTCCGGTTCAAGGCTGTTTCTCTACCACGGTTGGCAAGTTTTTGACAGTTGATGATTTTATGTGTTTAAAATTTTATTATCATGACACATAATTTTAATGTATACAATCTAACTTGCTTATGACTGAAACAGAAGAACTATCACAATTGGTTCATTAATTCACAGTGTTTTTTTTATTGTTTTACGGAATTAATTCTAAAAGGAAAAATGTGTGAACTAATTCTTTAAACCCTTCTCTGGCAGCGTTTTTGTGGCCATATGGTCGGCAAAGAAAAAAAATTACATATTTGAAATTAAACTCGTCTCTCTTTACACATCTCTTTAAATCCTGCTATTATTTTTGTATTCCTGAATATTGCTAAGAAATGGTGCTACAAGTCCTACTCTTTTCTCAATTTTTGCAATGAGATTTCCCACCTGAATATAAATCAAAATAATTTTGTACTTCCTGTAATTTTGCTTTCGTTAGTGTTACTGTTGTATGTAATCTGTAATAAATTATTTCTGTTTTGAGATAAATTTGATTATTATGCTCTGTTGCCCAAGACTGATTGTAAGGTTGTTTTAATGGCAAGGTCGAATTTTCGGAAATAATTTTTACCAAATTTTAATAATTATTTTATGCAGTTTCTTAGCTTAAAATATGTTAACACAGTGTATTTATTTTATTATAAAACTTGGGTGCATTGCAGGGAAAAACTGGAGATCATTGGACGGGCTATCACATATTTCACCACCAATAGGTCAAATAAAAAACTGCTTGCTGTTAAAAATATTTTGCATTTTCGAATATAGGATGGAACATATATTAATTTTTAGCAACAAAAATATACATTTTTTTTGGTCGGAAATGTGAAAAAAAATTTGACAGAAAAGGGGTTAAAAAGTTGTTTGATATACTACACTTGTGTTAAGTTCATTATCACAAACAATCTTTATTGTGAAGGAACACTTCTTGAGCAAAATTTTTTTTTATTAAAACAGAAAAACTTTGTTTCTTCTTTGGCAGAAAAACAAACCCCAAATTTATGTTCACCCACTATCGAAATTTTGTGCTGAAAGAGTAAAGAACAGGTAGGACAAATAATTCACAAACATTTTTATTTGAAAATACAAACAGTCACATAAGCTGCAAGAGGAGAATCTAACAATAACCACACACAATGCTATAACTCTGAATATAACAATACAGATAAAAAAACTTCACATAGTTATTCTTCATTGCTTATATACATACATTTTTTGAGCAATTTGAAATAAATAATTTATTAAATACTTTCAAATTGAATTAAATTTTCAAAAACTAATATTTTGCTTCTGACAACTTTAGCAAAGCAATTCTTTAGAACATTATGAAAACTTATTTGTTTAATATCAGTTATTTTCATAATAACAGAGTCTTTTAACTGAGAACCAATCTTTTGTTAAAAAAATTTTCATTTAACCTGCAATCTCGTAAAAGAAGCGCTTGTAATATTGTATTCGTAATGTGTATACAATTTTAGCTTATTATTGCTTGATATTTTTGTGTTTATTTTATTTATGTAGCAATCTCTATCATTGCTGCCAAGCAATTTCTCACTTACTTTATCCCTTTGAATGGCCTCACACATTCATTCCAGTTTTGCCTGCCTGCTTAACAGTTTATTGTTGCTCTGAGTTGCCATATATTATAGGAGTTTTAAGTAGTGACTACAACTCACTTTTAGAACTTTTAGCTGAGCATGAGGTAAGTATATTTATATTGTATTGTTTTCTTTCTTTCCTACTAATCATTTCCATTCTTATTTAGAATATTTTAATGTGTGTAGAAATTAGGATTGTTATATTTTTTAGTGATTGTAACGAATTGCTATTTTAATTTAGTAACAAACAAAGCTATTTTTTAATAACAGCAAAAAAACTTATTTTTGTAGCATTTTATTATATTAAGTGTGGGTATATTATACTAAATTATTTATTAAGCCTGGATACTTTTTTTCCAGCTACTTATCTTGGATGTTGATAAAGGAATAGTAATTAAATCATATAATGATGAAGATACTATTCTACCCAAAAAGATCCAAAAAGCAGTCATTGCTGCCTTGAACTTAGCCAAAAATATGACAGGTAAAAATTTTGATTTCAAGCTATTTTTTTTTTCCAGTGTTGACATGAACTGGACAATTTTACACGGTATTTCTCTTTTAATACATTATTATAACTATGACAATCTAGTTAAAATATTACTAAGTTACGGAAATTGTTTTTTAGAATTAAAAAATCTTTCATAATTTATTGAATATTTGAGATTGTGTATAAAACGTGATTAGTCACATAGACTTTTGTTATAATTTCACTGCCTTTTTTTTAAAGATTCATTCTTATACATTATTAATTGACATATTATTATTCATGATAACACTTAAATTTTATTATTGCTTGAAATGTGCTCTACAACTTTTTCAAAAGAATTTTGAAAGACATGAGAATAACCTATTATTAAATGTTCAATGACATCAGGATGTTTGCTGATTTGTCTTTTTCTGGCTTGGTATTTTCACTAAAAATTGCAACTTTTTTATGATTTCTGCACAGGTAGGTGCAATAATTTTCGTATATATCTTCATTACAAAATCAAAATATTTTATTTAAACTTCATTTAAATAGAATTTATCACAAAAATAAACAGATGGTCTATATTATTTACGTTAATTACGGCTTTTCCACTGAATTAGCAGTGGTTAAGTTAAAATAGTTTGGCTTAGTTAATTTTCAATGAAAAATCACGGAAACAGAGGAATAATTCTTAATTTTTTTTTGTGATTAGTCACAATAATTTGCACATCAATATCTGCAATGTTTCTTACTTAATTTCTTAATGTCTCGACAAGTTAGTATTGTTGTAGTTACGTCTATGCTTTGCATTAATGTTGTTTAGTGCTTAACGTGTATTTCTAAAAGCTATCACACCATCAGGTCAAATATTCCTGTAAGATGTTATGTTATTAATTAAAAATATCTCTATTTTTTTCCTCCCATGCATAATAGTAATTACATTGTTAAATTGTTTTATAGATCCAACAGAAATGCTGAGAGATATCATGATATCAGAAGCATTTGTACACATGTATGTAGAAATGATTGGCCATTATGAAAATCATTTTATAGAGCAAGATGAGAATCTAATATTCCAGGTAAAAAAAGTTCAAATTTGTTATTTTTTTATGCTACTAAAAAAAATATTTTTGGAAAATAATATTTTTTGTGACACAAAAAAATTATTCTTTTACAGAAAATTTGTTCATTCAGATTTTTTGTATTATTCAGATGGATGCAGATTGTGTTGTTATTTGTTCAGGTTGTATTATTTTCAAATTTGTTTATTTACAGAAAGATGGTTTGCTGAAAAATGCCATTTCCCATAGTATCCAGACATTTTTGCAGTGGTTTTCTGAAACTCAAATGTTCGACACATTTATCAGTGAGAGTATATGGAGAATAAACTATAGAAAGTTATGTCAAACTAATTTAAGAAGTAAGAAATTAATTTTTTAAAAGCGCAAATAAGATTTTGGACTTTATAGAACTTTTTTACTTTCATAATAGAAACACTGTTTTAAGTCTCAGCTTACATTATGTAATGAGTTACATTTTATTATCAGAACTTTTAGATGTGTTTAGAATTAATCTATGACTTTCAAGAAATCCTATTATAACACCACTATGTTTATAGCATAAATTTAAAGATTATTATTAATTTTTTAAATGTATTTTTTGTAGCTTTTTTTGAAAAGCGAGTTGACGAATATAAATGGGAGCTTTCTCATGGTGAAAAATTCTCTCGTTTTATTGAAAAAACAAAAAATTTTGGTAAGCTATAATTATATTTTCTTTAATAAATGCAAAATTATGTGTTGAAAGCATGCAATAAATATTTCCAATTATGATTTATGATGTGGTTAATTTTTTTGTATTATAGATTATTAGTTAAAATTATTTATAATAATAAAATTATTTATAGAATATATGTTAAAATTATTTATTTTTCAAAGTATATCTTGAGTATCAGAACTTTCATTTATTTTTAAAGTATATAAAGTTACTTTAATAACATACTGACAATTCTGGTACTTATTCCCACTGAGCAGCTTATTTTCCATAAATAAATTTGTAGCTGTGAGAAACTGCCGTGGGTTGCTTAGGGAGAAATATTTAAATTTAGTGTCCTACTTGTGTGTGCTTATTTAAATGCTAACAGAGTATAATCATTGATATTTTTCTTATCAATGATTTACTAATCATGATGTTAAATATGCATTAGATATAATAAAATTCTCACTCAGAGCAGATTTTATTTTTACAAATACGCGTATTAGGATGATGAATAAAAATTTAGAAATGCATTTATTATCTAAGATTATAAGTTTAATTGATGTATTTTTGTGCTAATTTTATTTTACAGGAGGAAAATTGATAAGTAAATTAAAGAAGTAAGAAAGAAAATGGGTCCACAAATACTGAACTTAATATTTTTATTAATAAAAATGGAACTTAAAATATAAATGTTGTGCTATATGAAGCAGTTTTTCTTATATTGTTCTCCATGTTGCTAAAGTTAAGCAGAATTGTTTTATAACTTTTTATACAACAAATTAAAATTTTTATACTCATTTTACATTACGTGCCTTAAGCTTTTTTGTTTAAATTTGTTGTTTTTATGTGTGGAAAAATATGCTGACCTTAATGTGAAGACTTTTATACCCAGTTTTCTTCTGTTTTTCAATATTTTCTTTTGTTTGTATTTAGTGAATTTTAAACTTTCACTGCATATTTTTTTAATTCAGTTTTATGTGTTTTTCAAGGTCTACACATCACTGCATTCCATATTTTTTAATAAAATCTTTATAGTTTTATAATCTATTAAAATAATTCCATTTTCTCAATCAAAACTTTGTCATCTAGAAATTTTAATTCTGAAATGTGTAGTTTTAATCAGTTTTAGTTTTATTTATTAACTTGTTTCATTAATTAACCCATCATATAAATAAAATTATTAACTAAAATACATTTTTAATCATTATTTTTAAAAAAATCAGATTTCTCATGTTATTTTTTATTAAAATTTTAAAGAGATCTCTATATAGTGCAATGTTAGCAAACAATTAACTGCCAGTATATTAAAAGATCTATAATGAGTGCAGAACTGTATCTTGCACACAAAACAATATCCATGACATATTATATGTTGTATTATTTCTGTGACAATTTTTAAAATTATGTATAACAATTCTATTTTGCTTAGTTATTTTTTTTACTGTGCAAAAATTGATACATTTTTGAATTACGTTTATTGCTATTATTTATTCAAGGATGAATATTTGTTCTTAATATTTTGAGTATACGTGATCTGTTGGATGCAAGTTGATGAATATTTTTTCCAAAAAATTCATGTATAAGCGTTTTTTAAATTTTCTTTTATCCATTCAAATTTTTATGAAAGTGAAAAGAAAAATATTAAAACACGTTTTCGAATAATATAAAAATCCATTTCATGTTATTAAAAAATTAACTTTTCTTTTAGATGCAACAGAAATTTATGGTTAACTTAATTAGGTGTTCTGACTTTTTTAAAAGAAAGTTTACTATTTTTGTAATAAATGTATTAAACACAACCTTTCTTTATGACTTGTTTTTTTCTTGTGCATATTCTGAAGAAAAAATAATGTATATAAATTTCTTCTCTAATGAATTATTTTTGTTAAAAATATATACATTCTTAAGATAATAAAATAATATGTATTATGAGCAGTTGATAATAAAATGTTCCTGCAAGGGAAAGTATTCATTATCAATAAGTTTGGATGATATAAAAACTCCTCACCCATATTACTTATATTGGAACATTCCTTACGCCTTTCCCATTTGCAAATGTTTATTCCAAAATTAATAAAAATAAATAATAAAACTCTTTTAAAATATAGTTCATGAAGCATTTTAACTTTTTTTTTTTATTGAAATTTAACTGCTGTGTAACTTCCAACAAAACTATAGTTGTTAAAAAATGTTTCTAAAAAACATTTTTGTTAATAAAACTTATGGTTCGAGTTTGAAACATGTTGTACTTTTTGAAAAATAAATCTGTAAATGTCTTTAAATAAAACTACCTCAAAATAAAAAAAAATGGAGGTAAACATTTGAGAAATACCTGGTTACTTACTGTTCATTTTCATAAAACTTCGTGAATCATTTTTCAGCCTAGATATTTTATTGGGATTCTTAGACATTAATTTCTATTGAAAATATTCTGCCTTATTTAATAAGAAAAAAATGTTAAAGAAAATAGGTGAAATTCTATTGAAAATATTCTGCCTCATTTAATAAGAAAAAAAATGTGAAAGAAAATAGTTGAAATTAATTAATGTGTGTAAAAATTAAGCCTTATTTAGCCGTACATGTAATGGTAGAGTTTTTATTATTGTTTTTGTTTGTTTACTACTTTGCATATTTTTTTAATTCAAATTTTAATAATATATTTTAAATATCTAGTAGCAATAATAACATTCCACTATTCAAAAATTACACAAATGCAAATGTATATATTTACACTGTGTTTGCATTGTGCATGTGAGGTTAGGTTAATACCAAATTAATGCGCATTTTTGAAGCTTAAAATATCTGCTTTTATTTTATCTTCACTTATTTCTTTTAACACATCTATTAGTCTTTCAAACTTTTGAAAATTATTTATTAAGTTTTGTTCAGGCTAAAACTGTATTCAATTTTTAAATATTTGGAGGCACAATAATAAAATAAATTTTTGGTGAAAAGTAACAAGAATAGATTTTTTAAATGTAAGTTTTACTATATAGGGAAATTGCAAAAAAATGCTCTATTTGAAAGTTTTTATGAGTACATAATAGTTTACATATTTTTATTTATATGGTCTGTAAAGTCACTATAATTTTACACTTTAGTACAGAAATATCTTTGCATACTAGTCAAGTATTTTTTTATAAGGAAAAATAATTATATCTTAAAAGCACAATTGTTTTAGTTTTTATATATCCAGTTTAACGCAGCTATGCAATTATAGTTACTTTTAAAATACAAATATTGCCTTTCGATTTGCGCTTAAGTGCCAATGTTAAATGTCTGCTGTGATTTTTTACTTTTCTTCATTTTAATCGAGGATTGCATGTTTGGTTGTTGTGTTGTAATTATTCGATAAAACCATTTTCGTGTAAAACGTTTGTTAAAAATATTAATTTAATAATATATTTTTATTTTTGTGAAAAAAATTTTGTACCAAAGTTCAACATCTTTGTAATATCCAAACATTTCTATAAGTTTTTATATTTAATTAGTGTTTTTTAACTTAGAATAATATTTTTATATAATTATCTTTAGCTTGAGTGAGAATTGTGGGAAAAAAGTAAATACTTTCTTTTAAATTACTCTAAATTTTTGTAAATACTTTTGTGAATAATTCAACTTGAATAAGTATGTTTGTTCATTGTTTACATTTTAGACAGACTCAGGCTATGAATACATTTTATGTTTTTAATTTTTTTTCTTATTTAATTACTTTTGTATACCTCAGAATTCTTTTTAATTAGAGGACTGTCATTTTTATAAATCAGCAAAAAATCGAAACATGACCACTTATTAATAATTTTGTAAACATAATAAATATATAATTATTTATTATTGTAAATGGCTGTGCTTTTTGAAATTTCACTATTTTTTAACATGTAAGCATATTTTTAATGTGATTGTGATACAATATTACTATTTTTAGATGTGATTTTAATTTTGAACGACAACATTGTGTGTTAAAAGTATATCTTTTTGCAAGATTTGTTTGATTTTTTATATTGAAGTTGGTCTTTCAATTAATAAATTGTTTTTTCATTGTTGCTTATAAATGTGTTTTATTTTGTTTTAAAAAAATACATTTTATCCACCTTCATTGTCCATTTGGCTTGCCTCTACTTTTGTCGATTCAGCCAATTCTTTGAAATATCTGTAAAAAAAATTATAAAAATATTTGATTAAAATTAATTTTAAATATCAATTTTTTTAAAAAAAAAATTTTTTCTTCATAAACATAAAATAGAATGCTTCTAAAATGGAAATCATTTTAAAAACCTCTAGAAATAACAAACTTATCAAATTATAATATTGTTATAAAAAATAATATAGATATTAAGGCTACGAAATTTTTCGGACTATTTAAGTGACTCTTGAGATTTACTTCCAGTAAAATTTCAAAAGAAGTCCCTGCAATATTATATTTAATTATTTGATAGATAAAAATGACAATGAGTTAGTTTATATGGTATATTGTGTTGATCGCTACCATTAAATGATAAAATACAGATTATCAAGAAAATAAAAGATTTTTTATTATCAATTGTGACAAATATAATGATAGGGAACTAATGCATCAAACATCTATAGTATTTATAAATTACTAAGTTGACTAACATTTATTAAAAAAACTGAATTTGTGCGCTATTTGTAGAAAAATTAAAAAAAATCATGTCTTATTTAGATTTAGATAAATTCTTATTTAGATAAGAACATTCTTCACTTTTGAAATAGCAATAATTTAATTTTTCATAAATGAGTTTTATGCAGGACATTTATTAGAACAATTAATTATGAATTACTTTTTCTTGATTCAACATTTGGATCATGTTCTAAAGTGGAAAAAATAAATGGTTGAGACTTTCACACAAAAAAGGCAAGTACTTTTATGAATAAATATAAAACTGATCAATGAGCGCATATATCGGTTTACACATCTGAGTTAATCAAGCAAGGACAAATTATATTCATTAATATTATTGCTTTAGGTGTTGAAAAATAAAATTCTTTTGCTATTTTTTGCAAAGATCTACAGTTTTAAAATAAGCAAGATTTAGTAACACTAAAGCTGAAATGATGATCAATTAAATCAAATTTTAATTTACTAAAAAAGCAAAATTCAAACTCATAATTTCAGTTTATTGCAATTCAATTTTAATTTAAATCTCTTATAATTGATGCTAAATTGTATGATTATTTTCTCTTTACTTACTAAACATAAAATATTTCTAGGCAGACAATTTAACTATCACATGAAATCAAATGCATATTAATTTCAAACAATTTATGCAAATTTTATCCAGTAGAATTAGTATCCCAAAATTTTTTTGCTGAAGTGTTAATTAAAATTGTGTTACAAGAAAAATATTGAGCATGATTAAAACAAATATTTTGAGAAACCTATATATCGAATTTATATGAAATTAATAAAATAGATTTTATTCACATTATAAATAGTTTTAGAATTTTAGCTATAACAGAGATTTTTTAATTATGCTTTAAAAATAGAAATTACTAGAATGATCCAAGTTCTTGATAAAATTATGAAGTTACAATTAACAACAGATGTTTATTATAATAGATCTCAATTATCTATTACAGTATTTATTTCAGGGCATGAAATTTCAATTCACTAGACAAACTAAAATTTTTACTTGCCCCTATTTGATATCTATGAAAAATGTGAACAAATTAAAAATGTCGTGAAGCATAAGGAATTTTTTGGTGATAGACACTATAAAAGAATCTAGAAACTTGAAATATATTTTGTGCAATAATAGTAAATCGTAGTAAGGCTTTTTTTTAAAGATTTTAATATTTCCTATAGCAATGGTTTTATAAGTGAAAAGTGAGTGACTCAGTATTTTTCTTTCTAAGTAGTAAAGAACCCGTTATCCGGAATTCAGAAAACCAAAAAACCGGAACGAAATTCAAAAAAATCCCCCCCCCCATTTTTTAAAAAAAAAATTATTTTCCTCATAAGATTTTAGGATTTTTCTTTCTTTTTTGAAAGATGTTTACCTTACCATCATTTTGGAAATAATCATTAGTGTATTACTTCATCGTTTTTTCCTCTTTTTAAGATTATTTCCAATTTTTTTTTTTTTTTAGTTGGGTTTAACAATAAAAAAACGGCTTTTTGTAGCGATTCAGAAAACCGGAAAAATCAGTTATCCGGAATAACGATGGTGCCGATCGCACGTTCCGGATAATCGTTTCCCTACTGTATATAGTTTAAATTAAAACTCAGCATCATAAAGGGTGAAACTCACTCATAGGCCTTAAACATCTGATTGCCAAAGGTGAGTAGAAATTTTGTACCCTAACTTATTCAGTTTCAACAGTAGACTACCTATCCTATTTAATGAAGACCTGTTCTCTTACTGTTATTTTAGCTAAACATTTTATTTCAAAATGGTATAAGTTATTTTAGATCCTAATTTACGGATCCCAGGAAGAAATTTGTTTTATGAAGTCTAGTTTCCATATATTTTAAGCTGTTTCAAAATGGCATTTCAAAGTGATGGTTTACGTTTGATTTTGAAATTATCAATTTCCTTAAATACTCTATATATTAATTTTCATTTTTTTAATGCTCAATTTAAATAAAAATTAAATGTTTCTTTATTTGTTTTCATTAAAATGTATTAAAAGTACATAATTTTTTCACTAAAATTGTGGAACATTGAGAACCTATACAAATATAGTAAAAATAAATAAATAAAACAGCCATTCTTTTTTCGAATGGAATTTCAATTGGGCCCTCAATATGTTCTATTGTACCTGCCCCCCCCCTCCTTTAGTACAGCCTTGTTTATCAAGTAGATAATTCTTTTTAAATAAAATACTGTAGTGAAAGCCACAAAAAGAAAAAAAAATGCGATAATTAGTAAGTGAAGCTTTATTGTGTATTATTAGTTGTATGTGAAATAATCAAATTTTTTTAAATTATGATTAGAATTAGTTTCATAAATATTCTCGGATTCACGGTAAAAAAAAGAATTTTCTTATTTATAAGTTGGTAAATTAGATAATTAAAATCAATAAATCTGAAGAAAATTACTTTGCAGAAAATTCTAATATATCTTGAGGTTGAGATCTTATGACATTCTTAGTATATTCAACTAAAATATCTTTTAACTCCTGAGGAACTTTTACACCTTTGGTTACTTTTGAATTATCTTCCATTTAGCATAAATTAGTGGAGAAATTATATTGGAGATAATTTTTTGATATGTGAATATACAATATTAATTTTCTGACCGTGAATAACCACCGACAGCGATGTTTTATTATCAAACAAAACGTTGTGTTGCCATAGTTACCGTACTTTTCGAGTTCAGTTGTTCAATGCTTGAATTAATTTCTAAATTTATTATCGAAACAACGAAATGAACTACTTAAAAGAATGTTGTAATTATTTTAAAAATGAAATAAGGAAAAAAAAAATTTCAAAGCGGAATCTGGGAAAAAATTTAAACTTTATTTAAATCTTTATTGGTTTCTCAGCTACCGAAGTCACTATTATAGAGTCTTTAATTCTAAAATCGTGACCGTATTATATGTCGTCCATATTGTTTATTTTGTTTTTGCTTTCCGGTAGCGGGAATTTTTTCAACATAATATTTATTTTCCATTTATTGTGCAAGCATAGTAATAACTAAAATTTTTATAGTACAATATAGTAAAGATTTGTTTTTGCTATTCAATACAAACCTTATTCATAAGTGTAGTAAGTACCTTGTTTAAAAGTTATTAAAATTGTTCGCATTTTAAAAACCGTAAAATATTTCTTATTTAATATTCAAAAAAAATTCTGTGTAGAAAGAAATTAATTAGCTAGGGTGAATTAGCAAAACCAAAATGTTCAAGGAGACATTGTTTTACTGATAATGTTACTGATCTTTGAATCTGTATTGGAGATATTAGTAATAAAGAAAAATGATTGTATTGTCGCGAATTCTGAGATTTTTCATTAAATTTTTTGATAAAAGAAGAGAATGGATATGAATATGTTGCATTGTATTTTTTTCCTGTTCCGAATTTGTATTCATAGTATTAATAAAGAGTAGTGCGATATTTTAAGGATTATATTTATTTTATGGAAGACTATGCAGTGGTTGCTACACTATGGATAAATAAAAAACTAATAGCTAAATGAAAAGGTAAAAGTAGCTTAATAATGTAATGTAATTAATTCAATATAGAAAAAATTCATAATATTAATTAAAAACAATTAACGTATGTAAATTTTTGCCTGTTTATGTCAATTGAAAACACCAAACAAAAGTTCCCAGTTGTTCGACTTAAAATTAATTTATTAATTAATTTAAATATTATGAAATAATTATTAATAAAATAATTATGAAATTAATAAAAAAAAGTATATTGTTGTGCTCTGGGAAGGTTACAAATCTACCTTTCGTGTCTGCCCCATTTTGTATTTAATTATGTTTATTTTATTTCCTTGAAGGCCATGGCCTTAATTGTAACTTGAAGTTGGTGATTATTTTCACGCATGCATTGTGATGAGAGAGTTGTTGATTATTTTGATCCATGTACTGTGATAGTAATCATGGGAAGATGTCCATTTTGGAGTTGGCAAAGTGATTATTGGCATAATGTATTATTTTCTTATCATTCATCTAATTGGTTTTAAAATATCTTAATATTATTATTTTATTAAAATCTGATATAATCAGTTCTTCTCTACCTAAAACGGGGAGATTTCCGTATTGTGATCTGTGACAGAATAATCGTCAAGTCTTAGCTACTTCCAGGCAGGGGCTTGTGAGAAACCTAAACAGTACTTAAAAAAACAGCACAGAAAGGAACTAATTCGAAAGGTCAACTGGTATGGACCCCTGGGCAAACATCTACATGATGTTTTTTTTTAATAAAAATGTGCAAGTTCAAGTTTAAAATCAATTTGGCATCTTGGCGATTGTAGTTGGCGCAACAGATCACGATATGGAAATATCCCCCTAAAAAAAAATTTTTTTTTTGAACAGAAATATTAAAACAATATTACTATTAAGAAATTCCTACCTAATAAAATCATACTTTTTATTTTTGAAGTGTGAGTTAAGAATTATTAAGAGATAGAGGTAGTAAAGCACTATGGAAATCAAGCCTACTGCACTTGATCTATTCTCCTCTTCCAAGAAAGAACCAAGAATTGAAATTTTGTGTTATTAAAATTATTTTTACTATCTATTAAGTATAATTGTCGGTAATGACAGAGGTGTGCAACCTGTGGGGATGTAAACTAAGTATGGGACAAAATCTATCTCAAAGAATATATCTTCCTAATTTTATTTGCTACAGCATATTGTATATGAAAGATGTAGTCTTTGAACCAGACTGCAGGTTAAATACAACAATGCAAGCAAATAATCTAAAATTTTCTGTATTATGAAATGCATCCTATAAATTTCCTAAACGAAATTTGATGTATTTTTTCTTTCAGTAAAGTAATTAACAGTAATGTCTGAAAAGGAAGAACTTGCTTTACCATCAGCAGTGATAACTAGACTGTTAAAAGATGCTGTAAGTATACTTTTGAAGCAAAGCTTTTTATCCCCTCCTATTGCTATAAGACTTGAAACATTTTAACTCTATGTAAGTAATCCGTTTTAAAAAATTCCATTCTCAATACAATAAACCAATTTTTCACCTAACTTCTTAACATTCTTTGGAGAACTTCTCAGTGTGTAAATGGGAAAAAGTTCGCCATAACATAGAGACGTAACTTAACTTTTGGAAATAAAAACATTAAACTGAGAGGTATGATCGTAATGGTAAAACACTCAATCCCCTTTAAATAACTATGTTTTCATTTTTCTCATTCATGTCGTGTTAATATTTTTTAGTGTTCAATTTATATTTATAAGTTGGCACAGTGGTGTCTAGGGGCTGAAGATTAACACAATAAAAAAGCTGTTATATATGCATGATTACAAGATTGATACACCTGTAGGTGGTAAAAACAAGATTCCTTGTGAGGTGCATCTCCCGCTTATCTCACTAAGAGATGGCACTTCTGTGTTTCAGTGCTACACCGTTTATACCGGTCATGGCCCCCATGTTGGAGTGTGGTAGTGTCTAGGGGTTGAGGAATAATTCAATTAATACCAAAGCTGTTTAATAAGCATGATAACAAGATTGATACACAGGCAGGTGGTTAAAACAAGACTTTTTATAAGGTGCATCTCCCACCAATCTCCAGGGGATGACTAGTGCTGCTATCACTAAGATGGCGCTTCAGTGCTACACAGTGTATGTGACATATATATATATATTTATATATACAGGGTGTTTATAAAGTCCCGGACTCATTTTGATGTTTAAGAACTCATAAAATAATAGAGATAGATTAAAATTAATAACATAAATGGTTAGATAGACTCAAAAAGTTTTGATGACCCTTGTGAATGAACTTCCATGTGCGCCCCCTTCATCGCACGGAGAATATCAAGTCGATAGTCAATTTCACGCCAGGTAGCGGCAAGCATGTCAGCATCCACAGAGCTATTGCGGTTGTAATTCTGTGCTTTCTCTTTAGGTGTATGCATTCTCCTTAATATCCACTCGAATAAAACATCACATAGAAAAGTACTACATAGAACAAACACATCAAAAGTAAACATAACATTGCAATAGTTGCCAAAAACAAAAGAGAGAAAAATGCAATTAATAAGCAGATGATATTTAGGAAAGTACAGATATTTAGACTGGAGAATGAAATTAACCACACACGCAGACGATATTTATGAAAGTAAAGATCAAACCTGAAAAGGAAAATATATGAGTTATTCCATCAATAAATGCCATAAGTTTGTTTATATCTTCATTATTTTATGAGTTATTAAACATCAAAATGGGTTCGGGAATTTATAAGCACCCTGTATATATACATATTTAATTTCCCAAGACTTCCTTCAGTAACTCATTATTATTATAAATATCAAGTTGAATCACAATCGTAATTCTCAAAACTAGTATTGACCCAAAAACAATGTAAGATAAGTGTCAAGAATGCCCATGTCCCTATTACAAATGCTACTCTTCCCGTGCATTTTTTGACTTTTTATTTTTCACTAAAGGGCTAAAAACACGTGAGCATGTTTGTAGAGATTTTAAACTCTCCCTTAACAACAAAAATAAGCTAACTTCAACCTCTCCCTTATGATTATTTATAACACTTTGTTTTGTGCATTTATTATGACTTTACTGTAGTAATCTAATTTTAAGAATTTTAGGATGAAATTCAAATAAAAAATTTAACTTTGCATAAAATTACATTTTATTTGTTATATTAAATAAACTTTTTTTCCAATGTTTTCTTTTCAAGTGCTATTTTTCCCCAAATTTTTTTATGTTAAAATTTCTTTTTTAAAATTTAAGAGATTTTATTATCATATATAAGCATTGCTCATACCCCACCCCTTCCTTTATCGAGAAAAATAAGCAATCACAAATGCCATCTCTTCCTTTAGATGTTTGCATAATATTTAAATAGCTCCTAAGACAAAAATAATGTATTGAGTAATGTAATACAAAAGTATGTAAGACGAAAGTGTGTATTGTTGCTAAGAATAAAATTCTGGTTCATAATCATGAATACTTCCTAGTAAGAATACAATGGTTAAAAAAATAATAAAAGACATAACTCTGATATTTATGGAAATAATGTAAAATAATTTTTATAAGGCTAAGTGAAAAGCTGAAAAATATATATTAAAAAAGATGGGTGAATAGATAATGTTTGGATAAATGTAAAGATAAATGATCTTAAATTTGTATTTATTTTTCCCTCTATCCTGTAAATTTAAATTGTAAATCAAATTATGGTGCCTATGAAATAAATAATACACTCTATAGAATTTATGTGCGAAACAAAATGCAATTATCAATTTGTTATTGTTCTCAAAACTTCTCTCAAATTATGATTGATGTATACAGCTGTGTGAAACACTTATCTCAATAAGGGCACATGAGGATAAGGATCTCAGTTAGATCCCTGTCCTCATGAGGAGCATTCTTTTTAAGTGGTTAAATTATATTGGCATTTCTTCCATTTTGAGTTTTAAGCAAAATTAAGTATATTTTATTTTTAAATAACCAATTTTATTTTCCCTCGAAAGTATTGATAATTTTCTTTATTTGAAATGAGAATAGTATGATTTTATTCCGACTTAAAAAAAAATTTGTCACTTTTAAAATGCTTAATTTCCTTTGACATTTTTAACAAACACAATCTTAATTGACTTGAGGACACACTAATTGTAGTTTATACTTATTTTAATAATAAAATTAAAACCATGCATAGATTTCAAAACATCTCCAATACCCATACTGGAGTATTATTAGTTAAAAATTCTTTAGTTGTATTAAGTATTCCTTATTAAAATGTCTTTTTTTAAAGAAAAAAAATCAAAAAACTTTAATTTTGATGCTTTAAAATTGTGTTTTCAAGTTGGTAGCATTTTAAATGTATTTATTAATGAACTTTTTCCTTCTAGATCCCAGATGGTATAAATATTTCTAAAGAAGCAAGAGCAGCAGTTTCTAGAGCAGCTGCTATTTTTGTTCTTTATACAACTGCTTGGTGTGTTAATATTTTCAATTGTTACTTAATTTCTACTTCCATACTTTTTTAAAATTATTAAAATTTTATCTCTAAACACGTTAGAAATTGTCCATCTTTCACTGCCCTTCTCTTGTGTATACATGTTGTTTCAAAAGAATCAGTTTTTATTTTCTGAGATGTTTGCCCAAATTGCTAAATGTTTATTTCATAATTTAACCAACTATGTTATTTTAAAAAAATTGCAGAAAATTGATAAAAATTTTCTGAAACCTTTGTACCAAAAGTTGGTTTTGTACTTATACATTAACTAAAAAATAAGTGTTATAAGATACCAATAAAAGAGTAAAGTAAATCTATTTTTAATGCTATATTGAAAAGTTGATGTGTAATTAATAACGAAGTAAAAATCAAGACAGGGCAAGGTTTTTGTTTAGTATTTATTTATGTTTTTATTTTTTGCAGAGATTTTGTAATTTATTTATGGTGTTAAAGTTAAAGCTTAATTTAACTATACCTGATCTCTGAACTATATGTTGAAAAAAATATGTTTAAAAATATTTTATGAGAATTTTGAAGTTAAATTGTATGTTATTCTAACTAGCGAAAATGAATGGTACAGTACAGAACCCGTTATCCGGAAATCAGAAAACCGGAAAACCAGAAAACCGGAACGAAATTCGATAAATTTTCCCGCCATTTTTTAAACAAAATTTTTTTTTCCTTATAAGATTTTAGGATTTTTCTTTCTTTTTTGAAAGATGTTCACCTTACCATCATTTTGGAAATAATCATTAGTGTATTACTTCATCGTTTTTTCTTCTTTTCAGGATTATTTCCTAAAAAAAATTTTTTTTTAGTTGGGTTTAAGAATAAAAAAACGGCTTTTTGTAGCGATTCAGAAAACCGGAAAAATCAGTTATCCGGAATAGTGATGGTCCCGATCGTTCCGGATAATCGGTTCCCTACTGTACTTGTTTAATATTATTTCTGTACTATAGCTTCGAATTTCAAATATTTTAATACATTTTCAAACATAAAACAAAATTTTTTTTTTAGTAAATTTTAGTTGTTTAATATTTGTGACTAAATAAATGAAAATCACTTTTCTCCTTTTTATTTCTTAAGTTTTGCATCTGTTTTTGCAGTTAAAACAATTTCTTTGATTTGTAACTAAAAGCTTATTTGTGTTACAATTTAGACTCAAAATTTTTGTTGAAACTTTCAGTGCCAGTCATGCCCAAGCTGCATCTCAGCGCAAAACTTTAACAATAGATGATGTGTATGCTGCACTAGAAGATATGCTTTTTGAGGATATGATCGATCCCATAAAAGAAAGTTTGCAAGGTTTGTGATTATTTTTTATTTAACAATTACAATAATATATTATTACAACTTTTATTATTTTATGATTGATCTCTTAAATAAAAGCTTGCAAAGTCTGCCACGAGACTCTATTAAAATGCTCAAATTGAGATTATTTTGAACTAAAAATAGTTGATGATGATAAATAAGTAGAGATGTGAATGAAGTGAAAAATAAGTAGAGATATGAATGGCTTCAAGAAAAAAATATTTATTTATTATTATAAAAATATTATTGAAAAATATAGGTTTATTATTCAGCAAATAGTGTAAAAAAAGATACAAAGTCGCTTTTACTTTTATTTTGTTTGCTGTAAAAAATAAATTAAAAAAATGAGGAAAAATGTATTTTTTATAAAAAGCAAACAAGCAAATGATGTGGGCCGTTCTCATGGCAAAGTTTTTTTTTTTTCTTTTCTGTTTTGATGTCATTGAGCAATAAATATTTGAAAATTCTGTTGTTAGTTAAAAAGTAAGTTCAGTCTTGGAATTTGTTTTAGAGTGGCCCCCGCGCAGTATAGTATATCAAGCAGCCCAATAGTCCATAAAATACTTTAAAAATACCCAAAACAGTTTAATTGTCACTTAAAAGTCTGATTGCTATAAATAGATAGCATTATAAATTTTTTTTTAGTTAAAATTTCATTACATAATTTACATGCATAAACACAATCTTGCATATTTTTTTTTATTTGTATTATATTTTATTTTTACATAATATCTGTTAGTTTTTTGAGACTTTGTTTTATCTAACCTTTAAACTGAGCTGCACAGTGTCATCATTGTAAGACGCTGAGGTTTCATCCTGGGAAGCCATTTAAAAGTACAATTTCAGATCTTTTGGTAGTGGATGCTTTTACTTCTCAAACCAGCCTGTCCGAGGAGTAAAGGAATCCAATGTGCAATCAATGTTATAATGGTGCATTTAGTCTTGAATAGCTCTAACATTCATGACCCCTTTAGGCAACTACTAGCTGTGTGCAGGAAAGTTTTTTTTAATCTTTAAACTAAAAAAAAAGAATGTACATTGCATATTTGAAATATAAAAAAACTTAGATGTTGAATAGATTTTTATGTGTATTTGAGATAGTAAAAAATGATGTGGGGAAAAAAAGTAAACATATCAATTGGTATCTTACATAGCATGTTGTAGTTGACTATAGATTCTTATTTTTAATACTTACATTTTGTAATGGTTAAGTTTGTTCCCCCATTGTGTAAGTTTTTTGCTTTGGCAAATTTTTATCACCTTTTGCAGTTTTAATAATTAGTTTTGTTTCTTGTACAGAAAGAAAGTTATCTGTTAATAATCTCTCCATAGTTCTTTGAATATTACATTGTTCTGTTTTATTACAGCCTATCATGCCCAAAAGAGTAAGAAAGAATCTTTGTCTAATTCTCCAACCAAGGGTGAGAAGGTTCCAAAAAAGAGAAAACGTTCTCAAAGTGCAACGGCTAAAGAAACAGAAAGTGCTAATGTCTTTGATGCCAGTGCTTCTCTGTTTGCAGGAACTAGCAGTGATTTAATGACTGGAGAACTAGAAACTGATGTTTCTGCAGAAGTAACAATTTAATATTTCTCAAATGTAAATATATGTACATATTTGTAAATACAGGATGAAATTTTATGGTCATTAAACTTTCATTTCTTCACCAAGTATGTTTTCTTAACTATTTTCTAAACCATTTATGTTTATTGTGCCAAGTTTTCACATTTCTTTTATTTTGTCTTATCACTTTTATCTGATGATTATCATTATTTTTATCGCTTGTTTCTTTTTTTACATTGGCTTTTAACATTAATTTGTTAAAACTTTTTTGTAAATAGAAAGTTTAATTAACATGTGTAAATATTTTAATTTTCATGTTTGGAGTAAAAACCATTACCTGATCTATTAATGTAATTGTAATGCAATGCAGTCTTTTCAAAAGCTTTCATGAGTGGAGAAAAAAAATGTTGACATTAATTTAAATTATATTGAAGTTATGAAGTAAAAAAAAAAATTAGTTTTAAAGATATTTTTTATGACATAACTACTGTAATAACATTTTATAAAAAGATTTTCTAATGAAGCTGAATAGGTATTAAATTATTATCCTTTGTATAAGCAAATGTGAATAAAAATAATCACCAAAGAAAGCTAAGCTAGTGAGCTTAAAAGCTGGAAAAGTATGAAAAATTATATTTTGCTAATATTAACATTTAATAAATTATACAGCATCTAATTTTGAATTATAAGCTTTTAAATTGTTCTCCCGATTCCATTCATATTAATATGTGATTTTTTTTTCTTAATTAGATAACATTTTCTTTTAACATAAACATAAGCTATGATGTTCCAGTTAAACTTACACTACTTATGATGAAAAGGCAGATGAAACAATGAAAATTACAATTTTCAGATTTCTTTATAAAACTAACTTCACAAATTATTTTTTATTAGTAGTATTTTCTTAAAATTTATTTTGAAGGCCTTATGCAGAGCTCAATTCTGTCAGCATGATGTTGAAATGAGATAAGAACTACATATGCATGTAAAAACACTTTAGAATTGATTTTAATTAAAAGAGCTATTTCAGATTTTAAAAAAAAAAGTTTTGATAGTTGAGATTAACTCCTATGAAATCATAACTTTTTAAATGGATTTTAAAGAAAACAGAAAGCCATTATTCAAATGTCATTTATTAAGAAATTTCATGAGACAAGACATTGTTCCAGCAATTTTTTCATGGTATAAATGCATGCCAAATATTTTGTATAAATGAAGCAATTTCTTCCTTATACAGAGAATAAAGATGAATAAGCCCATTGTATATGTAAATACATCATCTGTACAACAACTTAATTCAGTATACAAATATATGAAAGGAAAAGACAATTATCTTACAAATATGTCGTTCGTTGAAGAAGTCTTAATTGAATATTGCTGTTATTTTACAATATTTACATACGTTATATAAAAATCAATATCAAGATAATTGCTAAAAATAAGTATCATACGAGAAATGTTTATTTAATACACAAAGGGTAAAAATAGAAGGGAAATTGATACACATTGGCTACTTTCTTATTTTACATTTTCAAAATGGAATTTCTACAGGGATACCAACCTACAGCAATCGCATACCAAAAACATAAAGGTATTTTTGAATGATATAGTTTTTTTGTCATACTTATCATTAATATGGTAAGTTTTCCATAGTACAGTAGGGAACCGATTATCCGGAACGGTCGGGACCATCGCTATTCCGGATAACTGATTTTTCCGGTTTTCTGAATCGCTACAAAAAGCCGTTTTTTTATTGTTAAACCCAACTAAAAAGAAAATTTTTTTTGGAAATAATCTTAAAAATAAGAAAAAACGATGAAGTAATACACTAATGATTAGTTCCAAAATGATGGTAAGGTAAACATCTTTAAAAAAAGAAAGAAAAATCTAAAAATCTTATGAGGAAAAAAATTTTTTTTTTAAAAAAATGGCGAGAAAATTTATCGAACTTCGTTCCGGTTTTTTGGTTTTCCGGTTTTCTGATTTCCGGATAACGGGTTCTGTACTGTAATATTAAAATAAAAATTGACACATCATAGTTTACATTTTTTCTTGACTATGAAGTGCTTCATATTTGGTTGCATAAAGATAAGCAGTTTTTGTTTTAAAAGTTTGAGAAAATATTATTTGGAATTAAATTTTTAATCAAATTAAAAAAAAGTTTATTCATTCACTGAAATTAATTTTTTTTCCATATTGAAGAAAAAAAAATATTTAAAAATTAATTTTTCCCCCCTAGATATAGATATAAAAAAAAAAACTTTATATAATTCTGTCGCCAAAGCTAAAATCTGTAGAAATTATAAAAAAAAACTATATAAATTATAAAGAAACTCTTGTAGTTGGCATCCCTGCTTCTCTATGACCTTTAAAATTTATTCTATTTTCTTTCCTGTTTATTCTAGAATATGCTTATCACAGAAAGCATATTTCAGTCACATATCTGCACTTATTCCTTATACAAGATAAAATAATTATAGCAAATAAAATGTAATTCAGTTATTGTTTTATTTCAAGATTCTTGAAAAAAACAACTTTTTTTTATTCAAAATAAATTATATGAGCTATTATAAAAGTCCCTTTCCCAATTTCTGATTCAATTTAAACCATTGATGTGTAACAAATTATGTTTATAATGCAATTATTATGCATTAATTGTTTGCATTTTTGATATTGTATAACTCAAAAACATGATTGTATAGAGCATATTGGTGTTCTAATGAGTACTAACATTTTCTTCCTTTCTTTAATTATTTGTGCAGTCAATGTATTTTAACAGCAGTAAAACACTTATTGGAAATAAAGAAAATTGTGATAAAACTCTAGTTTTAAAATATTGTGTAATATGCTCAAATTCAACTACTTTGCAAAAATCATATTTTTTTTATTTTTAACCGATGCTGAAATGTTATCAAAATATTATTTTTTTAAGCTTTTTTTATATTTTTGATAACTTTAATTAAGACTTTTAAACATTATATGAACACTCACAGAGCTTTGGGAAAGAACATGCAAGATAACATTTGAAAATGTTAGATAATTGCTTACAAAGCATCCGATTTAATTAAAAATAATCATAATCTTTCTTTTTTTTTTTTTAAAGACTCCAGAATAAATTTACGTGTTACACTCTGTGCTGACTCTATGCTCTTAAATCTGGTAATTTGAGAAAACTTTTAAAATTCGAACATAACATATTTAAACTCTGAAATTTTCTTTTCAGACATGTTTTTAAATTTGAAAATCTGTTTCGTTTCAGAATGCTACTAAACATGTTCTCTTTCTCAACTCTTTAACTATTTAAATTGTAACTGATTTTTCATTTTTTTGTGAAAACTAATACTTAAACCAAAAGTATATTCATGATCCTAGATTTTAAAATATGATTTATTTCAGAATGGCAGAATGAACAAATTTAAAATGTTCCCTGTAAAATAGTTTCAGCACAAGATAAAATATTATGGAAATATTTGTTAGTACCGATTAAAACATCCAGTATCTTAAGATTTGCTTAAGCACGTTCAAATTGTTCAATGATCCATTAAATCAATTCTAATTTTTTTCTCAAGTCTGAGAATGATATAATATATATTTTAAAATCTGTAGAAAGGAAAGCAAAACTTAAAAGATTCAAAATATATGTTTTGTACATAAAAACTGTGCATTATAAATATTTATACAGCACAGTTACAAATTAAAACATGTTCACATTTTGGCATTATAAATAATGAATGAAGGCAAAACTCTTCATGAAGATGAATGAAAGAATGCAATGAATTTTCAGAGTTAAAGAAGATAAGTAGGTTTTTTTTTTCAACAGTAAATCACAGGTGTAGATAGTTGCACAGGCATTTCACACTTTACACCATCTGTTGGAGTAAGTGGCACATTCCTAAGCAAAGTTTAGTGAAACAAAATCTGTTTTTCTAGTTTCAACATTCGAATTCAGATGCAGTAATAGCATTCAAGTCTTTCATAAGTCCTTCTAAATTTGCCATTTCTACACTTAAATCTTCAGTACTGTAAGAAGGCTGTAAGTAATAAATATTAAGTTAAAATTGTTATGATGAAAGCATTAATTGTTTACTTTAAAAAATTTGTATCGAAAATTTGTCAACATTTAATTGAATCGCAATAAACTGCTAAATGACCTAAAATTGAATTCGAGTTTCAGGTAGAGCTTGATTACTTTTTTTGCATCTTTCTTGGAAAAGTATTGTACTAACTGGCAAATAATGCAATAGTCATAGGAATACATATTAAGCTACAATTGTTTTAATTATGAGTATTAATTGTTTACTTTAAGAATTTTTTGTTAAAAAGATAATTAAGTAACAAAAATTATCAACCGAAGTGGACTCTAGGTAGGATTATGGTTATTATTTAGCACAATGAACCAGTTAGAAAAGTTTTGAAGAAATTCACCCAAATAGTTAGAGTTAAATAAAATAACACTTTCAATTGCATAAAGTACCACTTTCAATTACAATAATTTGTTGGATATTTTACAAGTGTTATTCAGGAAATAATTTGGCAATTTTTTTAGTTTTTTTAGTTATATGTAATCCATAACTGTTTAAATGTTTTGAGACCACCCTTTTTAAATCCTTTAGACTGAGGCGTTTACAATAAATAGAAAGCAACCACAGTATTTGTAAGTACTTTTAAAATGAGAATAAAATTTTCCTCCACCAAGTTGCTGTCTTCATATTTTGCTAGGCAATATGCTAATTAATTAGGTATTACAAGCATTAGTCCTAATTAGTTAAGAAGAAATTAATGTAGTCTTGCTAGTTAAAAAAAATATACAATCACGTAAAATTAGGAATTAAAATTGTGATGCTTAAAAGCAACACTAATAAACTTAATGCATATAAACATTGGTCAATATTTAACCTAATAATTAGGTTTGTCATAAACAAAATTCATGAAGCTCGGAACTTTCTACACATTTTGTAATTTTTTTTTAATGAAAAAAGAATTCATATTTCACACTATGCTCACAATTGCATCATATCAATTCATAACATCATTGAGAAAGAAAGAATGTTGCTAGGACAGACAGAAATGCATGAGAACATGGAATATTAAAGCAAATATGTACAGTGAAATGTTGTTTTTTTCAATCTACTATTAAGTGCACTTGCAGCTTCCAGGGCATTAGCTTTTTCTCTTTGCTGTAGTTAGAAAAACTGATTGAAGTAAGAACCACTGGGAAAAACTATTATAAGCTTATAACTAGTTAATAGATGTATCCATTCATAAATTTGAATTAGTATTTTATGTTCTGTAACATAGGAGTATCTCAGATAAATTATCTTTCTCTATATATATAAAAAATTTTAATGAAAAGCTACAACGTGTATCCAGAAATTTCAAAATAAATTTAGGGTATAAACATCTCTGGCAGATATCCAAAATAATAATAATAATTCACAGTTTGTTTATTCAACAAAAATAGAGGCTCACATTTTTGTATTTTTTTCATATCTTTAAAATGTAAATGTGTTAAATAAAAATATATTATCTTAGCTTTTAGTCCAATTGTATGTTTAAAAGTTGATGAAATTTTTATGATTAGAAGTTACAAGAATTAATTTTGAAAGGAATTTATGAAGGTCAGTTATTGTCAATCATCATCCAAAAATAAGCCTGTTTTTTATTTCAACACAACATTTAATTTTTAAATTAATTAGGAAATCTCTAAATTAAAATTAAGATTCAAAACTTTTTTTTAACGGTTCTTTTTAAGGATAGAAATATTCTGAAAACCGTCTTAATGTTGTATAAATTCAAAATATAAACGTACAATAATTTAAAATAGATTTCCCTATTTTTTTCCTACGTAATTTTATACCAAATTAAGTTCTTAGGGGGAATTGTTGAAGTGCTTACAGCAATTGTTTGTACTTTGGAAATTTCACTGTGCATAGAAAAGGGAAAGATAGAATAGAAGCAATAGGTTTAAGTACCTACAGGCAGGTCCTCCCGGTCGCTATTTCCATCTTGTTGCCTCGGCATTGTTGAAGGGCGTGATTTTAATGTTGATTGTTGAGATGAAGGTGCTGCTGGTGATGGACCACCGCTCGTTAAAAGTTTCTTTTGGGGGCTTGCAACTTGCTGGGGTTTAACTGAAAGAGAGGTAAAAAACTTGTTAAAATGCAGAAATATGGCTGAAATAATATGGTTAGGATATAGTATGTGCTTACCGATGTGCCGAGGTTGTGGAGTTGTTGGAGCACTTTGACAAGGTGGTGCTGGAACACTAAATGATTTAAGTGAGTGATTGGGTGGTCTTTTACTAAGGGTACCTGAGACAGAGGTGCAGTCTGTTGGTGGTACAACAGGTACACCAGTGTTGCTTGAATAGGTTGCATGTTGGCTTGAGCCACCCAACACAGAAGCTCCACCGAGTGTTATGTGTAAAGTTGGAGATGTAACTTGATCATATGGGTGATGAGTTCTTGAAGATGGAGAAGTGAGAGTAGACGTTGATGAACCTAAATTAAACAATTTTTTTTTAGTTTTACTTTTCAAAGATGAATTATAGAAATAATGATCATGAAAATATTAATAACAATTCTACAAGATTGATTTAGTAATGCCATTTTACTAAACAATATTTTAGTATCTTTCATTTATTAGTAATATTTCATTTATTAGTACCTTAAATAAATAGTCCCAAGAGATTGTAGCCTTAACACTTTTTATATATTTTTGAAGCAAATGAAATTTTAAATCAGATAATATTTTAGTACCTTATAGAAATTTGAATGTTTTTATTACTTCATTGTTATTTTGACGATAATTCAAAAACCTGCCTCTCTAATAAAGGCATTTGAATATCTGAAAATTAATACACTAATACTTTCAAGATAATACAATGCTGCTGTCTTACATTATTTTTGGCAATATTTCAGTAACCCCGATTATTCTACAGAAAGGTTTTATGAAAGTAACATCATGCGCAGTGAGTTCTTGCATTAATAGCAGGAGGTTAATGTAGAGGTTATATTTTATCTTACACTTTACTACGGCCAAGAAACTTAATATTTTGTGCAGTCCAACTGTACTATAAGCTTACTGCTACTTCTACAATGAAGTAAAAAAAATATTCTGTTCTTCTTAATAATATATTAAATATTCTGATGAATTGTTATCTTTTTATACATAAAATATTTTGTATTATCACAGGTATATCTAGCTACAATTGACAGTCAATAATAAATTTAAAAGCAGTTTTGAAAAATTACAAGTTCAATTAAAATTTGTTTATAATATTTATTGTTCATTATGACTTATCAGAACTTCAATTTGTTTTAAGCATAGAAGATATTAGATAATTTTAAATTTTTATTGATATGTTCGCAAAAAAATAACTACTTGTTTCCCCGCCTATTGACCCATCGCTAAATTGTTAATGTAGTTAAATGCCTGAAGATTATTTTATATTCATTAAAATATATAACTAATGTAATTCATGTGAGAATTACTGCACTTGATTTTTAGTAATTATTATGTTAGAAAAAGAAAAACGCAGAATTTGAAAAAATTTCTCTAAATTTTGTCACAAAATAGGCCAAGAAACAAACGAAGTACACAAAATATTTTACTTGCAAGTTAATGCATTTGAATTTGCATAATTTAGAAACAAGTATTTTCCAATTTATAACTTGAAAATAATTGCCTTTTCGCACAATATTAAAGTTATCTTTCATAATAGAATTTTCTTTTTGAAAATCTGTAAAATATTATATCAGTTGCTTAATGCATGAATAACATATGTCATTGTTTATTTGCATTTATCTGAAAATGATTTATTTTTTGATAAGAATCGATATGAAATTGAATAGACAGAAAATAACTTTTCTCGAATCAAAATACTTATAATTTTAAAATTTTAGAAACACAGATCTGAATATGCACTTTTAAAATTCTTATCATAGGCATTCTAGAGCAAACGGGAAAAAACTTTAAAATTTAATAATTTTCTTTAAAAAAAGGAATGAGGCATGTAAATTGTATGGAAAAGATATTACCAGGATGAGCAGCATCTATGGTGACGTGAGCATGAGGAATATTGTATTGTGTACGAGGATATATTGGTCTCGCTAAGCCACTTGATCCCATTTCATATGGAGATTCCAGACCTCCATTTGGTACAGGAGTAGTAGCAGATAAGGCTGAAATTATTAACCAACATTTTAGAAGCATGCTAAGTACAAAAGCACGACAAAAGGCTTAATATATATATTAAAATATTATGTATTTCAATTATTTGTTTGTATGGATTATCAAATCTGACAGTTACTTGGGCAGCAATATAACTCAGACAAACAAGAGATGTATTTTTAAATCTTTGCCAAATAAAGGCTAGAGGAAGACATTTTATTTTATAACCGTCATTGAACAGCCGACCCAATTTTTAGGTTTTCGGCTTATCAATGTTTTACTCCATAGCCTTGTAATTTTGAACCCAATCCAGAGGACAAGGAAAGTCTTGGATCAAGTGTTGGGAGAAATTTGCCTTTGTAGAAGATTTGTTTTGATGAAACCAACCTACTGAAACCTCCCATGGTTAGCCTGACAGCAAGGGGACTCTAACCCATAATCCCCCTACCACTGAGGATATTTAGTGTGGTCGGTGCGAGTTGGGTGCGGAATTTGTATTGACCAGTCATCGTTGGGATTTTAACTCTGGTAACCTTATTTGAGGCTTTGGCTTTATCCTCTGAGCTACCACGACTCAGAGGAAGATCTTACCATGAGCCAATATTTTGTTTACCAGATTGAATTGTATTTGCAGCCACAAAGTAGGACCTATGGGTAATCCAAGCTTATCTAGTGCCATTAATACAAAATTTAAATATCCCAATCTTGGTTTCTTGTTGTATGTCTTTGCAGTAGGACTTTTGTTGGAAGCCAATTTTGGGAAGGTAGATAAAAGATTAAAGATAGGCCAATATAAAATTGATGCTATGATTAATATGGTGGGATTTGCTTTCCCAAAAATTTCTAAATACATTATATTTATATTAATTTACTAGGGGGCTAAGCCCCCTGTTTGCTGCCGCTCATCAACCCCAATGATTGCTTCGCAATAATTGTTGTTTCTTGGCAAAAATCAAGTTAAAATTATTCACTTAACATATATGTACTAAAAGGAATTCTGTATGCTTACGCTTGTGCTTCCACTTCTCACGTCCAAATATTATTATCTATTTGTATTATAAATTTTAAAATAATATTTGATATGTAATATAAGTAATCATTTTTTAAAATAATATTTGTATTGTTATTACATTATATTGTTTAAACAAATTTGATGACTTTGCAACTGTAATTTAATATTTCCGCTTACCAAACGGGCAGATATATTAAGTACTATTTTTGCTTGCATCTCATTGTGCATGAAGCTGAATGTTAAGTTCTAAATAATTTAACAGGTCTCTTCAACTGTAATTTATAACTGTATGTTAATGTTATTTGCAAAAAAATAATAATTTTAAAATGGTTATTAAGGTTTGACCACCTTTCTAAAGAACTTTATCTTAAAATGTAGCACAGAATTACATTATAATAGTAATTACATTATAATAGTAATTATAAAAAAACAATTCTCTTAGTTTTAATCTCTTGAACTGAAAGCAGTAGAGGAAAATAACTTTATGTTAGGGATACAAAAGAATTGAATGAAAAACAATACCTTTATGACTTTTATTAATTTTATACTGATGATAACCAAAACAATATGGAAATGAATAAGGAAAAACTGGATCCTACCATGTGATTTTCTAGCCAAAAAAATGCGCAGACAACAGACAATGACACCACCTTTTGATGTACTTATCTCTTGATGCAAAAGTTTCTGGACTAGTACTTGAGCTTTCCTCTGTATTATCAATTATTTAATCTAAAGTCTAATATTATATTGGGTACTCTTCAAGATTTATCACAAATAAAAGTCGAAATAGTTTTTGATATTATTATTTTGTAACTGCTATGGAATCAGCCAGTGTTTATTAATTAGCAGTTTTTAAAAATTAGAATAATAGTTTGAAAAACAAGTACATAAAAGGTACTCAAAACTTTTATAAGTGAGGGTTGGAAATGAACATATATTTCCTTTGAAATTTCAGACTAGTAAAAAACAGTCAAAACTAGTTTTATTAATTTTTTTTTTTTTAGGGAGCATGAAAATGCTCTGGAGTAAATTAGACATATTTTCCTGCATGGAAAACGGAAATTTTTTTTATTTTTCATAACGAATTCTCATTCAAATTTTATTATTTTTAACCTTTTTAATAAACCTAATTTTGTTTTATATTGTGCCTCAATGTTATAAACATTAAGACTGAATCAGACAATTAAACTCTATATTTTGAAAATAAATGGATTAAAATTCTCTTTCACACTTTATAAAAAATTGTTCCTAAATATGTTAATTCTCTTTAAAATATTTGATGAATCATATCTTTGTAAAAGCAGACAAATAAACGTTTGAAATAAATTATTCAAAATAATCAATTTGCATAAAAATTGATTGTTAAAAGATTTTTTTTTTACAATTTCCTCATTTGTTTATAAACTGTGTAAGGTGTAAATAACATTTTGCAATTTCATTGGTTTAAGAGTTTTTCAATTAACATATCAAACTATTAAGACTGATTAAATGATTAATCAAAAGAATAATTAGTGCTATAAGCAATTCTACTACAGAGAATATTCATATTTAAATGTTTTAATTTTTATTACTTACTGGGAGGAGGTGGAGGGAGGGAGAAACTTTCGGGAGGTAATAAAAATGATTTTACTCTGGATTGACTAGATTCAGACACACCATCTAATGATGCCATATCATCTGCTTATCAATCAAAATAAATTGAATAAATAAAACAAAAAAGAACAAAAGATAAATCATAAAGGGAAACAAAACACAAGAAATGTGAGTAAATAATCATGCTTAAATGTTAAAATAAATAAAACAAGACAATAATAAAATAATAATGAAACTGAGAAAGTCATGCAAACATTTCTAATCTGAGGATAAAATGTAAAAATTAATATTTTGATTTTCAGTTTAAATCATCTACATTAAGATTTTGAAAGTAAATTGTGGTTTAATTATACAATTGCAAATTACACAAGGTTTGGAAATGTTTTTTCAATTTCTTATGGATATTCAGAAAGAGTAACTTATCGAACAATTGAAGGTTTGTATTTTTTAGAAGCATTGTGATATGATATAGTAGTTACATAGAAATATAAGTTTAAAAAAATTGGTAAATTTTTGTTTTGGTAATCATATTTGTAATTAAGTAATCATCTTTATAGCTTGAGTTACTATTACTTTATGGTGCCCTTCCTATTTTTCAAAAGAATTGTTAGTTAAAATTTTATGAAAACTGGAGTTTAAGATATATAACCATTCACATAAGCAACATCGATACATTCAACAAAAACATTTTTCAATAACTACAAGCTGGAAAATCATAAATGAATTTGACAAATTTTAAAGATCTGGCGGCAAAGTAGAATTTTTACTAATGAACATACAACTTAGCCATCCTAAATGCTGGTTATGTCTTACAAATGTTAGAATATTATTTTCCTTTACCTGTCACACTAGTTTTTATAAATGTAAACCACCTTAAAAAAAAAGATGCTTTAACATTATTACAGTTTCTCTTTTTTTCTTAATATAATTTTGTAATTTTTTTTCCTTTGTTTTATTTAGAGTGCAATTTAAAAAAATGGCATTTTATTTTGGAATCCATTTCTAATTATGTAGCATGAATTTGCTGGCTGAATACAAATGTCCCTTTTGTCGGCTCTCTAACCAAAGCCATACATTTTTTCTAGTACAGTGTAAAATTATTTATTTAACACTATACTAACAACATTATATGAACTATCACTATTAAGTTAGAAAAGCTGTTTGTATGGGAAACAATTTTTATAGAAAAAAATTAAACTTCAAAATATCTGAAGTGAACTGTAAAAACAATGATTATTAAATAATGTATCTTAGAATATAAAAAAAAATTACAAAAATTGTGCAAAATTAAATTGTTAAAATTGCAAAAATTAAAATTATTTAAAAATAAATATTTACAAAAAATATGAAAAATTAAACATGAAATACAGCATAAAAATATGATGCTGTTTTTTTCCACAGATTAAATTGGTCAGAAATTTAATTAAATCCAATATTAATTGCTATCAAAAAATTACCAATATATGATCCCTTTTTCTTTTCCATCACATCAATCATGATGTCAGTTTCATGAGGACTCCTGGATAATCCGGAATGATCACCCTGCCTCACTTTCTCCTTCAACTCCATCTGATCATGGTGGATCCACAAGTCTGGAGGCTTCAATTCGCGGCCTGTTGCTTTTTGTCCCCCATATCTGTCATAAAAGAAAGTTATCCCAAACAGATTAGTAAGTAATAAGTATTCAATGGTGTAAATAGCTTTTACTAATTCTTTGTTTTTGTGGATAACAATTCACTGATAACTAATACGTTTTTAAATAAGGAATTTTTGTGGATGAAAATCGACCAGTTGGATTTTTTTTCTTTAAAAAAAGCAGTCTTAAAGATTTTTAAAATCACTGCCATACTAGATGTTCCATTATTACTATCATTAATATATAAAATCTCTGCAAAGTAAAAAAAACTCAGCGCATTTGTAGGCCACAAATTGTAAGAGATGGAACAAAAGAGTTGTTTCAAATTCTGACCAATCACTAATAAGGTTAATAAAAACAAAGGAGGGAATTAAAATCAGTTTATTTGAGGAGGAAAAATTTAAAAATGATTCCAAGTTGAAAGGAAAATGCATTCAATCCAGCAAGAGACAAACTTTTTTCTGATGATTTTAATTCCTTTTATACCTTTTCTGATTTTAATGATGATAGATCATTGTTTGGAAATGTTTGTGTTTTCCTGCACCTAATATTGCATAGTTGTTTACTTCATTTTCTTTTTTGTTAAATATATTAAGGGCAGTCATTACAACAGAACGCCTTTTAAATAAAGAGCACTGGTCTAAAAAGATATACCATGAAAAAGTTCAAAATTAAAAAAAGAATCAAATACTTAAAGTTACATTTAAACTGACTAACTGTGATTATCTTCCTATTATTACTTGTTTAAATGAATTTTAATTGATGGGACATTCTTTATATCTATTCGGACCAGCTTTAATTATTGCAAACATTACCGTAATCTCTCTTATATTAATCTTTACAAGTATGTATGATAACAGAATAACTTGTGGCATAGTAACAAAAAGCAACATATTTTTTTTCTTCTAAACTTTATTTTTAAAAAACTTACTTTATATAATCATTTAGTATTTTTAAATTCATTAACAAATTACCTCTGAATTTGTTGTAAAAAATTAAAAATGTTTTTTTTTTCTCCACAAAAGGTTTAGTGCGTGATATTAGCAGATCACACACATAAATTTTAAATTTATTTTCTAAAATCAAAATTTATCAGTAGTCACCTGTTCTTTTGTACTGGAGCAAGGTAGTTATTGTGCCGGCGTCTACAAGTTACTGACACTATGATGATGAGGATGATGACTACGATACCACCTGAGACAGCTGCGATGATGATGTATAAAAAATTGTTTGCCATACCTATAAAGGAAACAAATGTTTCATAACTACATACAAAAATAAATTTTTCAGATTTTTTAAAAATTGTGTTTTAAATACCTGGTGGTGTTTTGTACACAACTTCAGATGAAAATGGACCATAACCTTTAGAATTTTTAGCTTGGATTTTGAAGTAATAAACAGTATCTGGCAACAGACTTCTTAATGTAGAAGATAATTTATCTCCTATTATTCCATCAACAATCCAATCTCTGTCCTGTGTGTTGTCTGTTGTATAAAAGACCACATATCCTGAAAAGGTTATGTTATTCAATTGAATTCTGTAGATTTTGATATAAACAATGTCATAGAATTTCAGTTTTTAATGAGAATAATTGAAGTATACAAGGTGTTTCGTAGTCACCACCTTTAATGTATATATTTAGAATCCTTATAAAAATGAAATACAAAAAAGGACACATTACGGGTGGTAAATTAATATTTAAGTGAGTAATTTTAAGTAACCAAGTATGAAATATTCTTTTAATAATTGGTTGCAACTTTAGGAATTGAAGGAAATGTTTGCTTTTCACTTTAATTTTACTTTCAAAACAGTACTTAAAATGTTTTTTTATGTACATTTTTAGATATATTTCTTACAACTTTTTTTAATTATTTAATAGTTATGAGCTACCTGTTTTCAAGGGAAAACTATTTAGAGTGAAGGCTATACATTTAAAGATTAATAATAATTGAAATCTCATTTAATTGTGATTTTACCTAATTTCTGCATTCAAACGAAATCCTTATACAATTTCGGACAAAAGGATGTTTAAAAATTCAAACTTATCGAGCAATTATTTCCCATTCCCATAAAACCATTTTTTCAGTAAAGAAAACAATTTTTTAAAATAATTCAATTCTTATAAAATATATTTGTTTTTATGAATATTATTTAATGCTCATGAAAAGAATTATATCTAATGTTTTGTAACAAGACTTTTGATAATTTACAAATAAACTCCCCTACTTGAATTACTAAAATTTTTTTAAATGACAAATAATTTTATTTAATAAACTAAAAATTCAAAACTAGGAACTTGAATGAGTTTAATATTAAATTATGTATTAATGTCGACACAATGAAACAATTATTAACAACGTATAAAAATTCATCAGGATTTGGACATTAATTCTTCTGTGGGATCTTAGATTGTTTAGCAACATGGGTCTCAGTTTTGAACACTTTTTGCTTCAGGGAATATTCTCACCTGTGATTTGACCATTGGGTTGTTTAGGTGGTTGCCAAGTCAATGTTACAGATGATACATCATCTTCAGAAGGTATCACAGTTAAGTCTCGTGGGGGTGATGATGGAGAAGCCTCCAGAGTATTGTTTATTACACTCATACTCCATGTACTTTCTCTTGAACCTTTGACGACTTTCACACTGAACTCATACTGAGTGTTTGGTCTATAACAAAAATATAATAGTTGTTTTAATTCTCAAAATGTGAAGTATCAAAAATTCAAAAGCATAAAATTTGTTAACAACTTCCTGATTTTTAAAATTGTTGAGGACAATTTTTTTTAAATATTTGTAAAGAATGTGCTTGTAATATTTTGAATATAGCACTGTTGTTTGCATTGGATTTTAAAGTAAAGAAAAACATTTGAATAATATTTCTGTCTTTTAAAAAATTTCAAATTTCCCTTAATTAATTTTTAAAAATAATTTTATTTCAAAATTTAAGTTTTTTTCTCACTGGAATCAATCCAAATGTTTTTCTTATCGAGATATGAGGACCATAATTTAAAAGATAATAGATCATCAACTGCTAATCAAATTCTTGAAAAATAGTTTTTTACAAATTGAGAGTTTTATGAAATATACTGAGATAGTTAATTCTCTTAAGATAATTGATTAAAAAGAAATTTTGTTAAACAGATTTTAGTTTTAAAATACGAGTGCTTAATTCTTAAATGAAAGAAATTCACTCTAAAGTTTATTCAGCTTGATTTTTATCAGAAATAAAAATGAATGAAAATAAATCAGGTCTAATTTATGGTTTAATGTTAACTCTTATTCTTGAAAAATCTCTAATATTTTTTATGAATATATATTTTACAGGCAAATTAAGAAGTCCTTTTTCTAAACATGTGTTGTGTAGTATTTTAAATTAAATTGGGAAAGGTTTCAAGTAAAAAAAAAAAAAAAAAAAAAAAATTATGGAAAAGAAAAGAAAATCCTGCCAAATTTGCGTTTGGCAAAATTTATTGTTACAATAAGTGATTCTGATTTACCTATTTCTAATTTATCTAGTGGTTATTTACCTTTCAAATAATACTTCTTGTTTAAGCATTATTTGTTATTTAAAAAAAAATTGATGAACCTAGATAGGAATTTTCGCTTTTGTTCAGAACTTTTCATTTAATAATAATTATAAATTAGTTAACAAATTGTTTTAATTTAACTGCAAATTAGAGATTTTAAAACTCTTTTTCAAGTACAATAAAAATCAAAACTTAATGCAAAATATAAAACTTAAGTTTTAATAGGTTGGAAATAATATTACCTATTTATTAATTATAGCAAACAACTGTTAAAAAACTTTTTAACATTACTAATCATTACAAGAAAATGTGCCAATTTAATTTTCAGAGAAATGCAGAAGAAAAACTCACCGTAAATCGTCAATCATACAGTTCAAGTCAGTGGAATTAAAATATCGAAATTTGGAGCTAGATGAAGTGGAATAAGGACTGTAACGCACTGTATAATATCGATTGTCAGTAACCAGCTGATTTCGAGATAAAGTGCTGTCCGTCCAGTACAAGACAACAGATGATGAGGATAAAACCATAGCCTTGAGGCCTACAGGCGGCAGCATAGGTGTCAAAGGCTCTGGTGCTAAAATATTTGAGAAATATTTCAGTATTAAATAATTAAAGACTTTAAGAGATATTTTAGTGGATCTGATAAAATCCTTTTTATAATTTACAGAGTGTTTTTTAATGATAGCTCTTAGTACTCATATTTAGAGTCTTAGCAAAATAAAAAGGAAATAATTATATACATCAAACTCTGAAGAATCATTTTTGACTTCGATCAGAATTAAAAGATTAAAATAATAATAAAAACAGTTTGTCTATAGTTAGGATGTTAAGATACTATTTACATTTGGATTTGATACTTTTTAGATGAAATATTTTTACGATTTGCAATATTTGCTCCCATCATTTTATTTAGGTGATATGATTAATAACAGATTTACATGAAGGAACTAGGGAATTCGAAAAGATCACAGGAATTTCTTAGGTGATTTCAAAATTAAAGTATTAAAATAAATGGTTATTTTTATGCATAGTTATAATATTTAGCCTTCACAGTGTTTCTAGGTTTACAAAAATATAATTCTATGTTAATTTTTTATCACATATCATAAAAGCAAAAATCAATTGATAAAATAGAAATCTCTTTTTCAATAACATCAGTGCTTTATTTCCATAATATTGATGATTTGCATAATAATTATAATATGTTTTAGGTGTCAATTACTGCTGTAGTTTCTTCCAAAAATGTATCATAACTTGTAGCATAAAAAAAATATATATTAAAGCAATATGTAAGATGTCGGTATTACATTGGTAAAAAATGTTACAATTTAAAAATGAGTTTAATTTTAATAAATTGAGTTTTAAACGTCTTGAAGTAAGTAACTAAATTTCTAATAAATAAGTAACTAAATTTCTAATAAATAAGTAACTAAATTTCCAATAAATAAGTAACTAAATTTCTAATGAAGATTCATAATGCATTAATTGCTGTTTTTAAAATATTTGAATTTTGATTTCACAATGTAAAAGAATTTAGCTTTCTCATTACAGTAAAAAGGAGATTTCGATAGTTGTGGAGTTATTATTACCAGTGTGCAAGGTATATTTTTATCACCCTATGTGGTACAATAAAAGAATAAGAAAGTGGAATCGATACTCACGGGCTTGTATTAACGTTTTCACAGTTTCATAAATGGGTATGCCATCACCGACTTGGTTAAAGGCTCGCAAACTGATAACATACTCAGAAGAGGGTTCTGCAAAATATTAGTAACAGATGTTTAAAAATATTTATTATTATGAAATAAATTCAAAAGGTTTCGTTTATATACAAATTGTGCCCTTTTGTGGTGTCACCTAATGTATTGTAATTTATCGGTGTAATAAAAAATGGCATTTAATTTAACGCTCACGTTCAATTAAATCTAAACATTTTAGGGAACATTTTTCAAATTGTTAAAAATATTAACATTAAAATCAAACTTATTTATTTATCAAAATCAAATTAAAGGTTTAAATAAACTTTATTTGGTTTTCGAAATAAATGAAGAAAAGTTATTTTTAATGTATTAAAAATACACAGGGTATTCCGTAATCACCACCCTTAATATATGGTTTTATGATCACATACTAGGTCGCAAATTAATATTTATATTAGGAAAAAGCCTCATCAAAACATGGCGAATTACTAATGAGAAAAGAGAGATTAAAAACCAGTTTGAATGCACAGAAGGAACAAGGAAATGTTTCGTACAATTATTAGAAATACCTTCAAGTTTTATCGGACAATCAAACTGGTTTCGTCATTTTAATCTGATCTTTTCCCAATTCATCATATTTTGTCATTCCTTAGATTTTAATATTATTTTTTTCATCCTCGCTTTAATATTTATTTAGAACCTTTTATGTGAATGATTTTTGCACTCCATTTTCGACAGGGATTCTAAAAATTATTATATATTAAGGATGATAATTACGAAACAATCTGTATTTGCAGTCTATGCAAGGTTTAAATTTTTCAACTAAAAAAAAATCAATTTTATGTAATGTTAATGTCTTTTTTTATTCTATGCTGGATTAATATTATTGGTTATTTGATTAATTTTCAAAATAAATGAATTAAAAAATTTATATACACTTAAAAATTAATATACACTTGTGGATTTTAATTCATGAATTTTAATTTTGTTATTTTCGTACCAATGATTGTTAGTGCTATTTTTTTTCATTGAATTTTATCTTTTTCTCAAAGTTAATAAATTCATGATAATTGTTCAAATTGAAGCTAGAAAATAATAAAAGCTAATAGTATTGAAACAGAAACTTACGTAAATTTTCTATATTGTAATATCGCTGTTTTCCATCTAAGACTTTGGTGTATACGTCAGGAAATCCAATGCCCCATCCAATCGTATACCCCCTTATCATGGTGTTTAGGTTTCGAGGGGGTGTCCACACAACATAGATTGTATCAGCAGTGGGTTTTGCTCGCAAGGAACTTGGTCTGTCAGGCACTCTAGTTTCTGTATTTAACAACCAGACTATTAGCGTTAAATAATATTAGGTAACAATTATTATTCTATATTAGAATAATTAAAATTTTCTAGGTGTTCAGGATTCTATTCACAGTAATAAAAATTGAAATTGCTAAATAATAAATTTCAGAATGATTTTTGTACAAAATTGCAGATGAAATAAATTATGCACTCTGAATTGGAAATGCATCAATAAAACTATTATTACAAACAACAAATCATGCGCTGATTTTTACATACAAAATTAAATTCCAGCAATAATTATATTAAAAGGAGCAAAAGACTAAACTGGCATAATTACTTGTTAGTTGTCACAAAAAATAGAGAAATGTGTGAAAAGATAATAACAAAACATTAAATCAATATATCTTTTAAATTATTATTATAATGTGCAATAACAATTACATAAATACATATCATTTAGAGAGAACTACATAATATCAAACATTTTAAATGTAATTTATAAAGAAAGGAAATTTTTTAGACTATAAAAATATTAAACAAAAGCAAAGGCAAACCTATATTAATGAATGTTTAATTAAACCATTAATGTAGACTATTGTTTAAACTACTAACAAATGCTTAGGAGGAAACAATCTCATCTGTGGACCACACTTTTTAAACCTACCACAGTTGTTTAGATCCGTATATAAACTGCTGTTTGTAGAAAATGCAACACCATGAAAGAATCATCAGAATCAAATGAAATTTAATGCAGAAACGACTTGTACTGATACAAATAAATGATGAAATTTTCAAAACAAAAGAAACAAATTAAGCGTCCGAAATCAGTATTTGGTGCAGCCACCACGCGCTGCAATAAGTGCTGCTATACGACGTGGCATGGAGTCAAACAGATGTTGAATATCTGCTTGAGGAAGAGAATTCCATATCGCTTGTATGCGCAACCAAAGTTCGTCTTTGGAAACTGCAGGACGCGGATCACGAGTGAGACGCCGACCAACCATATCCCACACGTGCTCAATAGGCGACATATCCGGCGAATAAGCAGGCCAAGGAAGAAGTTGCATGCGTTGTGCTGAACAGAAGTCTCTAACAGTCCGCGCAACATGTGGGCGTGCATTATCCTGCTGAAAGATAGCTCCAGGGATGCCTTGAAGGAAAGGAACGACTTCGGGCTGTAGCACTTCACGGACGTATCTGTTGCTATTGAGATTACCCTCAATTCGTATCAAATTGGATCGTCCATGATACGAAATCGCACCCCAGACCATAACTCCGGGTGTTCGACCACTATGTCGTTCAATAATACACTCAGGAAGGCAGCGTTGACCGGCATAACGTCTAACACGAACACGGCCATCATGGGTCCACAAATTGAAGCGTGATTCATCTGAAAAGACAACTTGGTGCCAATCAGCTCGCCAGTCTCTGTGCTCAAGAGCCCACTGCCGACGCAGCCGTCGATGATCCGCCGTGAGGGGAATCCTGTATAATGGCACCCTTGCACGCAATCCACGGCGCAGCAGACGACGACGAATTGACGAAGCCGACAATTGTACACCTGTAGCAGTAGACCAATGTGCTGCCAGCTGCCTGGAGGAAGCTGTGCGATCATTCACCGCCATGCGGAGCAGGTGTCGATCATCGCGCTCTGACGTCACCTTCTGTCGTCCAGTGCCTGTTTTTCGAGTTGTTCGGTGCTCGTCGGTCCACTGCTTCCAAACTCGCATCACTGTGGAACTGTTCCGCTGCATACGAGCTGCTATTGCGCGATAGGAAAATCCTCCTTCTCGAAGGCCGATTATCCTCCCTCGTTCAAACTCCGTAAGTTGCTTGAATTTCTTATTCTTCCGTCGTGGAGGCATACTCAGGTCTCACTAAACGTTTGCCACTAACAAATAATCATAGACTATTTTCAACGTCCCGCTACAGCACTTTATTTATACGCTTTCAGCATCAATTCAGAGGGCGCTGCGCGCGCCACGCACGCGCGATGGCTCTGAAACTTTATTAATTTGCATAATATCCTATATCCATTATTAAAATAATATTTCATTTGATTCTGATGATTCCTTCATGGTGTTGCATTTTCTACAAACAGCAGTTTATCATTTCAAAAACTGTCTAAGCTGCCTTTTACCTTGTTAAGCTACCTACATTACTACCCTTTTTTTTAAAGAGTTAGTAATTTTATTATAATTTCTTTAAGTCACTAAAAAATCCATTGATACTGAAGCTTTCTTTAACTCAAAACGTAATAACTGAGGTGGGTAATTTTTTTAATTTTCAGACAAATTTTATTTATGCTTGATGGTATTTGTTTAAACGACTTTAAGTCACTAATAATTCATTGAACAAATATATTGTATCTTTGTTGAACTCAAAACGTAATAATGGTCCTAAAAGCTGTAATTCAAGCTTGAACAAATTTTTATTTTCGGACAAAATTTATTCATGTGAAGTTTTTTTTACGGCCATTCTTTACTCCATATTCTTAGGACCCTCGTCAAAAACAAAATGAAAGAAGTATACACATATATACTACAAGATATCAATTAAACAAGAAAAAAAATAAAAGTCACTACAGAAATTAAAATTAATAACTATTAAAGACTGGAAAACAACAACCCATGTTTAATTGCTGAAGGAAAGTGTTTGAAAGGAGATAATTAGCAACATCTCCAAGTTTCATCAGGCAATCAAACTAATTTTGTGGTATTTAATCCAGTTTTTCTCATCGGAATTTGCTAATATTTTCTTTTTTTCTTGTCTTAAATACTAATTTGTAACTATTGTGCATGTAAATATGTATTTGCTTATTGTAACTATTTTTCACTTCACTGCTGAAAATTTATAATAAAGGCGTTCTTTACAGAGCACCCTCGATTTCAAAATTTGCAACTGAAAGTGATGCTGCTTCTTCTCATCTTATTCAGTTGGAAAAGAAAAAAAAATATGCAAAATCAGACAAGTAAAATAAAATTTGAAACAGAATATATTATTTTATAGGGAAAATGACTAATTTAAACTATTCTCACCATCCAAGTCATTTTGATATGTATCTACAATGATCCAATCTGTGGCAGGACCACTTCCGTTGATTGTTAAGGCTGAGATTTTAATACTGTACTGGGCACCTTTCTCTAAACCTAAAATGAATTCATCAATTTTTTATTATTTAAAAAACTAGTTAATCTGTTTATTAGTAGTTAATTATGGTTATTACTTTTTATGCTTAAAAACTATTTGGTTTTAATAGTTTAATGGTATATAACTTCTGAATGCTTAGATAATAAATTTAGACGATTTAAAATGAAGTAAGTGAAACATTCTGTTAAACAAAAGAAATTCAGTAACAGAAGTTATTTAAATTTTTTGTTTATTAAAAAAAAAACAGAAAATTAATGGAATAAAATAACAGATATAGATGCGTAGAATTTTTCTAAAAACACAATGTTCTGTTTTTTTAAAAAAAAAACTTATTTTAAAAAAACACCAAGGAGAAAAATTATTTAAATTTGACATAAAATAGCTCAAAAGTAATGACTTATTAATGATATTTGATGTAAGAAGGTTTCTTAAACATTTTGAAAACATTGTTGCGAAATTTCCTATTGTTTCATTCAATTGTTTTTAAATTATAAAAGCGAAAGTTTTCTGAAATGACAACAGCAGTATCTTCCTATTTTTGTGAGACATGTTTAACCAAAATTCAAGCAATTTTTTACTAATGAATATTTTATTTTTGCGAATATATATTCTATCTTTTTTAAAATGGCATTGTTAGTTTAACTATAAAACGAGACGGGATTTTATTCAAAGAGAAAGTTTTCTGAGTTAAATATTTTAATTTATCATTGATTGACTATAAATGACAAAGAAATTAAAATTAAACAATAAAAGCTTAAATATTAAGGTTCAAAAGATAAATTATTTCAAATACGCTGAAATAAAATAAAACTAATAGCTACAAATTGGGCGTAAGTAAAATAAAATGAGATTTTATAATATAATTGAGTTTATTTCTTACCAGTGAGAGCGTATAATCGCCTGTTTCCATCTGTCGTAACTGTATCGCCTCGTCGGCTTCCTTTCAATTTGTATCGAATTTTATATCCCATTATGACGCCATTTTGAGTTTCTTTAGGCGGAGGTTCCCAACGAACAATAATTGTCTGCAAGAAATTGTAAGCAATATTTAAATTAGATTAAGCAGAAACGAATTTGTATAAGATAAGAATGTAAATTGGTTCTACATTTGTGTTAAATTCAGTTGAAAGTTTCTTCCTTTTGAAAATATGTTAAAAACTATAACAACAGGACATATGATAATCCTCTGATCTAAATCAGCAATATAACTAAAGTTCGTCCAATTTAAATACCTTTAAAACATACATCTTCAGAACGATCAACAGTAAATGAGAAAAAAAAAAGTTGCCGAAGTTAGATGAAAACAAAAACATTACCAATGAAGGTAAAAATTAAAACCTAAAACCTGGATTGCTGGAAGTGCTTTATTTAGACACTTCCCCCAAATTTCATTAAGCAACCAAACTCATTGATGTGATCATCTTTCTCACAAGTCATTCAACAGATTTCAATAATTATTTAGTTGACCCTTATTGATAATTTATTATGGGCTCTCATCCTTAAACATGAACCATAAATTTCAGTTATGAATATAAAATGAAATCCAATCCCTAAATAGTTTTGGCATGTTGATCATTAGAACACGTTTATTAGTGCAGTTTTACTTATAATGGTTTTTCTTATTTATTTTTTATTTCTAGTTTTTCTTACTGAAATTTTTTTTTCTAAATAAACTTTTCTTATTTATTTTGAGTAAAAGAGATATTCTTTTTTAATCATAAAAATAATGTAGAAATTGTTTATGATTTGTAAAACAGATTTACAACAAAAATTAAATAAAAAATGTAAAAAAAATATTTACACTTGAGCTAGAGGCTTCAATTGTTACATTCTGCGGAGTATCACTGGGAACTGAAAGATAATTTGTTTTAATCATTTTTGAGAACAAATTAAAACACAGAACTATTTAAGAATGCTAATATTCTTACAATCAGACAGGGTTTTTACTGATATTTCATCTGAGTTCGGTCCAGCACCATTATTATTGAAAGCTACTACCCAAAAGTTGTAATCAGTGAACTTCCGTAGACCTCTTAGAGTGTGACTAGTTTCAACAATTGATACCTCTCTTTCTTCCGATGTACCTGAAACAGTTAAGTTATATAGAAATATGTCTCGTCCGTGAAATACTTTGTTTTTAGTATAAAAGTTTTTCAGTCATTAATTAAAAAATAGTATTTAATAGAATTTTTCTTTGAAACTCCAAAACATATATAAGAGCATTTTGTAATGGTTACCCCTACTATATTCTAAAAAAGTCTCTACATTAGGGGTCAAAAAAATAATATTTAAGCTGGAGAAAATACAAATTCTGTCGAAGGCTAACGAATACTATAAAAAAAGGTAGAATAAAAAACAGCGAAACCCGTTTGATTGCTAGAGGAAACTTTGAGATGTTGTTAATAATAACAACATTTCAACTCCTCTTTAGTTTCCTTTGGCATTTAAGCACAATTAAAAAACAGCGAAACCCGTTTGATTGCTAGAGGAAACTTTGAGATGTTGTTAATAATCTTTCAACTCCTCTCTAGTTTCTTTCGCCATTTAAGCACGTAATTATATTTTTAGTTCCACCTAGTTCAAAAGAGAATTGTTTAATTTTTATAACGTTTTTGTTTTTTCCCTGCTTACATATTGATTTGTTACTTCTAACGTGCATTTTTTTGTGCCTTTTTTTTACAAAGATTCTAAAACTAGTTATGGTGGACATAACGGAACACCCTATATTTATGAACTAATACTTCAAAAAAACAAACGAGATGAAATAATTAAAACTAAATCTTTAAAATTATTTTTTATTAACCAATAAAAACGCAAATGAGCGAAAAAAATCGGCCTTAATTCCGAACTGCTAAAACATGTCAAAGAAAGCGGAGATCGATCGATTCTCATAATTTAGCACGAGGAATCGAACCTCGCACTACATTAAGAATCGAGTAGGCGGAGATTTAACCCACCACACAGAGTGGGTGCCTCTTTTTTTAAAAAGGATTCTAAAATTATATATTAAGAGTGGGCATTACGGAACACCCTGTCAAAGCAAAATTTGAAAAAGCTCATATTTCTCTCTTGGAAAAGATGAACCTAAATTATTATGGCTTCAAGAACACAAATCTTTAATTGCAAGAATAACTATGAAAAAAATTCGAAAAGGGCACATTTTATAAAATTTTATTGTATAATAACTGTCTGTATAATTTAAAACAATACAAACCTTCTTCCATATAAAATAACTTATATTTCTGAACAGGTTCAGGCACCGTTTCGGGGTTTTCCCAATGGACATGAATAGATGTGGGGGAGAGGGCTTCACCTTTCAAATTTCTTGGAGATCCTGGTACGTGTACTACAAACATAACATTAAGTTAATTTCTGATTTATTTAATGCTTTTCCTTCATTATAAAAACAATCTAAAATACTAGTTTAATTACTTTTTAGGGATTTAAAATTTTAAGCTTAAAAATGTCTTAAAAAGAAATTTTATGAATGAGCTCTGGTAATACATTTATCAGAAATGAATGAATGAGCTCTATTTCATATTTTTAAAATTATTTTATGAAGTATCAATAAGAATTGTAGAATTCTTCCTTGAATTCTAAAAATCTGTTTTATTGGAGAAAACCACAATTTGAATATTATAATAAAATATTTCATTTTTAAATGTTTTTTTTGAAAGTTACAAAGAAAATATTTCATGTAATGTTTGATACTTTTCTTTAATTCAACGCAAAAAATAAATTTCTTTAATAAACTAAAATTATTATTCATCTACTATTACTTACAGTTAACTATTAATTTTATCTAAGTTTCGCAAAATAACTTTAACAATATATATAGTATACACTTATTTGTTACTTATTTACCGATGCAATCTGATTTTTTCACAAAAAAATTTGAAAAACAATATTTTTTTAAAACAAACGTTTATCAAAATTTATAATTTGTTTCATAATTGGAATTATTTTTAAATGTTGTAATAGTTTTTATGGTGATTGCTATTTAAATTTTCTAAAATGAAATTAATTCAATAACAATTTAATCATTCAATTTTGATAACTAACGTCCTTCATTAAATTTATTCACAAAAAGCCATTATATAAAAATACTTTTGTTTAAACTAATAAGTAGTTAAAGATTATAATTTAAACCATAATTTCCTTTCACGCTTTTTTAAAAATATTTAGTGTATACACTTTATTATTTTTTTATTTATTTTTTAAAATATATAATAATTTGTTCCCACGAAAATAAATAAAGGGAAGATAGAGAAGAAAAAAAATTGAACAAGAAAACATTAACAAAAATCAAAATATATGTTTTTAGTATCTTACTCAAATTTTACGAAATGATGTTAAAATATTGTGTACACTATCTTTATTAGTTTTCTAACTAAAATCTGCTGCTTACCTTCTCCCTGAGTTTCCACCACTACTTCCTCAGAGCTGATTCCAGGTCCTTGTTGATTATATGCCACAACACGAAACTGGTACTTCGTCGAAGGTTGCAGGCCTTGAATATTAATTTCTTCTAGTCTAAGCCGAGTTGTATTTAACACGCGTTCCCTATAAACACCAAGAAAAATATTTACTTTAGGCATTTATTCCAAGTGTTTCTGCATTTTTTTTTTTTTGAAGTTTTCAATTAAGTTGCTTTTTTTTTCTCAGTGAGACTTTCAAATGGTTTTTAGAATCAAAACAGTTTAGTTTTATCGTAAATTTGAAGAAATAATACTAGTATAAACTGGATTGAAATTTACCAGATTAATCATTTATACTTATGTACATTTATAGTGATCTTTAATCCAATTCTAATGCATTAATTAAAGTAAACTGGATTGAAATTTACCACATTAATCAATTATACTTATGTACATTTATACTGATCTTTGATCCAATTCTAATGCATTAATTAAAGTGTTTTTTTAATAACTTCAATTAAAATATTTTTATATAAAAATATCAAAACTTTGTATTAATTGAAGTTTTAAGTTAAGACGTTTTGTTTCTTTGTAAGAATAAAAAGCTGTAAATATTTTTGGACACTATATACAAAGGCGTGTAGTTTCAAAATATTTCCATAAATTTTTACAAGGATGGCCAAAAATTATTTTGTTAAATGTTTAGGAAAATAAATAAAATCTAATTAAGAATCGCAACAATTTGCGTTTAACTTGAGAGTTTGCTCTTATAAAAGTTACTTTTAGGCCATTTCTCCTCAAGTATTTTATTTCATATAGAAATGCTTGCACACAATTAAAAATCTTAGTCGAGAATAAAAGAACATTAATTGTTTCAAAAACCTATTTTTTATTTACAAATTCTGCTGAGTAAACTAATTTATCTTTACTTTCAGCAGATCATAACATGTTTTTAAACTTGAATGATTTTAAAATTATTCCATTAGGCTATTCAATTATGAAGATTTTAGAGGTAGATTTATTTTAATCATAAGTTAGGTATATTTTCTCATCAAATGTTTTTTTCCAAATATAAATTTTAAAATGTTGAGAAGTATCCCAAAAATATCAATTGAACGAATTTAATTCTTTTTAATTAAAGTCTTATACAGGAGAGACAACGTGACTTTGCGTTTGAAAGAAAAAAATTTATTCCATAGATCTGTTTAGCATCTTTTTAAATTTTGGTGAAACTGAACAAAACATTGCGATACATTTAAGTAAAGTACCAATATTCGTACCTGGTTGATGTTGTTTCTCTGTAATACACTGAATATGCGATAATTTCTCCATTTGTCCTTTCCGGTGGTGACCAAGAGAGGGTGACAAATCTGGTGGAAACGATGACCGCTCTGACGTCAACAGGAGTTGTGGGAACATCTTTACTGTGCGGCTTATCACCTGTGGAGGAGGAAGGTTTTGGAGAAGGCGTGGCTAACATGCAAATAGTAGATGAAAGATAGCACAGAACAGGAAATGAGAGAAAGACCCCATTGGATTTCGGGTGAGATTAGAAATCCGAGAAGATTAATTTTGATTTAGTTAGTAGAGATTCATAAATTAATGCAGAAAGAGGAGAAATAATGATTAAATTAGTATGTTATGAAAAATGTCATTTTAGGAGGAATTACAGTAAAGGAAATATGAGTAAAGATGAAAGGTTCAATAGAAAAGCAAAGATAGATGGAAAAAAATAAAAGAAAAAAATGTCTTAATATTTTTTTTGCACGCAAAAAGAAACAAGGAGTAATATAACATAATAAAAGTGAAATAAAACATAAAATAGTTAAATTAAAAATATCTTATAAACTGTAGTTTATAAAATATTTTTAATTCATTAATAACTGTAGCAAATGAAAAACAAAAAATAGAACTAAAGAGATACATAAAAAGGATATGAAAAACCAAAAATAAATCTCCACTTAGTTTAAGTAAAAATGCGTAAATAATATTGTTTTATTTATGTTTTAGCGAAATTGTTTTTCGTCTTTCACTATATGCACTGATAAAGAAAGATGCACTAATATACAAGGTCCGGCTATTAATTTCCAGGACTGACGTAACTGTAGGAGAAAGAAAAGCCGGAAGATGGCGCTAATGATTGCATATTGAAGAGTGTTCTCTTGCGCATGTGCAGTGCAATCGGCGCCATTCTGAAGTGAATGTTTCTCGTGGAAAAGCGCATTAAAACGGAGCTCTTAAATTCCTGTTGTCGAAGTGAAATGGAGCAAAGAATTAACATTAAATTTTGCTTCAAATTGGGCAAGACAGCTGCAGAAACCTACAAATTGTTAAAACAAGTTTACGGCAAGGAAGTATTATCTCGCTCAAGAACTTTTGAATGGTTTAAACGCTTTCGAACGCGAAAGCGTGGAAGATGATCCGCACACAGTTCGGCCGCAGTTCGTACGCAAGCCGGAAACAATTGAAAAAGTTCGCGTCCACACATTGCGTTTGCCTGTGAGGCGATTCTTAGCTCAGCAAGGTGTCGTTGAGTCGCAGCATCCACCATACTCGCCAGACCTAGCACATACTTTTTCCTGTTTCTTAAGCAGAAAAATTCACTGAAGGGAACAAGATTTCAGGATGTCGAAGCCTTCACGAAAACTGTAACGTTACAGTTTTCGGTAACTGTAACGTTACAGTGAATTTTTCTGCTTAAGAAACAGGAAAAAGTATGTGCTAGGTCTGGCGAGTATGGTGGATGCTGCGACTCAACGACACCTTGCTGAGCTAAGAATCGCCTCACAGGCAAACGCAATGCATGGACGCGAACTTTTTCAATTGCTTTCGGCTTGCGTACGAACTGTGTGCGGATCATCTTCCACGCTTTCGCGTTCGAAAGCGTTTAAACCATTCAAAAGTTCTTGAGCGAGATAATGCTTCCTTGCCGTAAACTTGTTTTAACAATTTGTAGGTTTCTGCAGCTGTCTTGCCCAATTTGAAGCAAAATTTAATGTTAATTCTTTGCTCCATTTCACTTCGACAACAGGAATTTAAGAGCTCCGTTTTAATGCGCTTTTCCACGAGAACCATTCACTTCAGAATGGCGCCGATTGCACTGCACATGCGCAAGAGAACACTCTTCAATATGCAATCATTAGCGCCATCTTCCGGCTTTTCTTTCTCCTACAGTTACGTCAGTCCTGGAAATTAATAGCCGGACCTTGTATAAAATGCACCAAAAAAAATCGAATACCTATGAATGATTCTTAATCTATTGATCGGATTTTCACCTACCAGGGCTCAATCTCAATAGTGCGAGTGCCTAATATTAATTATTCTTATTAGTTAGTGAAGTGGATGTATAAGTTAAGAAATCAGACATAAAAACGTACTTTGTATGAATAAACATTCATTTCTTTCGACGGAATTGGGTTCTTGACTCTTAAAATCTGGGAAATAGCGGCAGTTTTAAAAATTTGGCCCATTAGTTAAGACAAAAAAAGCTTGGGTGCCACAATATTCATTTTGCTTCCGAGCCGAGTTATAAATATTGCTGTGAAACAGAGCAATATTTATAACTTTGCAATAGAATACACCGCATTATTGTAGCTAAAGATACTATTCCTCACGTTAGATCAAGGCAATTTAAAGTTTTGCCCAGTAAAAAATTGTATTTAAAAAAAACTTAAAAATTTACATTAGACTCTAATGTACATAAGAATTAATAAGAGTAATAAGAATTTTATCTTTCAATATTGCACTTGCACCGTCCAGTGATAAAACAAATATTTCACTCAAATTAATATTTCCTTTTAATTTACGAAAATATAAACTACATTTTTATTCATTACAAAATTACAAGTATTGTTAGGAAACACATTTACAGATACTGTTTTTCCTTTAGATCAAAACGTTTGTAAGAATTTTTTTTTTAAAAAAAAGGGAGTGAAAAAACTAGTTTAACATCAACTGTAGGATATTATATATTGTACTATCTTATAATATTGTATAGTCACATTCTAAACATAAAACGAAAATTCCACCGAAATTAACATTTACTGTTAACTTAAAAATGGAAAAACTACATATTGCTTCCTAAGTAACAAACATTGCTCGAAAACACATTTACAGACACTGTCTTTTCATTAGATCAGTGTTTCCCAAAGTGTGGTTCGTGTAACCCAAGGGGTACAGGAACAGTTTAGCGGGTGTACGAATTCTTATGCGAAATATCTTGCAACACAAAAATTTCAAAAAATTTTATTTAAAAACAAAGTTTTACGATTACGTATTTTTCTATTGGCTTTTTTCTGCAGAGTTAACAGTTAATAACTAAAATATGTTTATAAAAATATTTTTTAAAAAAATACATTCATTTTTTTATTAGTGGTACACAGCGTCAAAAGTCGTAAGTTTGGGAAACACTGCATTAGATCAATAAGATCAAAACGTTTGTCAGATTTTTTTTTAAAGTTAGCGAAAAAATTAGTTTAGCATCAATTGTAGCATATTATGTATTGTGCGATCTTTTAATATTACAACTCCATATGAAAAAATAAAACAAAAATTTCATCGAAATTATTATTTACCATTAACTTAACACGAATTTACTATTAACTACATTTTGCTTCTTAGCAAAGTAAGAAACATTGCTGGGAAACACATTTCAGATGCTGATTTACCGTTAGATTAACAAGAATAAAACGTGTGCAAGATTTTTTTTTTTTTTTAATGTGAGGGAACTAACAAGTTTAGCTTCGACTGTAGGATATTATTTATGTATTGTGTGATCTTTTAATATTGCATCTCCACATTCAGAAGATAAAAAAAAAAAAAAAAAATTCACCCAAATTATTATTTACTATTGACTTAACATGAACACTACATCTTGCTTCTTATCAAAGTAACAAACATTGCTGGAAAACACATTTACAGATACTGTTTTTCCGTTAAATCAACAAGATCAAAATTGCAAAAAAAAAATTTTTTTTTTTTTGAAGTGAAAGAAAAAACTAGTTTAGACTCAACTGTAGGATATTACGTAATGTGCGATCTTTTAATATTGCATCTCCACATTCTAAAGATAAAACAAAAATTTCATCCAAATTAACATTTACTATTAACTTAAACTGAAAAAACTACATTTTGCTTCCTAGCAAAGTTAGAAACATTGCTGGGAAACACATTTACAGATGCTGTTTTTACGTTAGATCTACGAGATCAAAACGTTTGTAAGAAATTTTTTTAGAAGTGAAAGAAAAAACTAGTATAGACTCATCTGTAGGATATTATGTATTGGGAGATCTTTTACTATAGCATTTCCACATTCAAAAGATAAAACAAAAATTTCATTCTAATTAACATTTACTATTAAGTTAAACTGAGAAAACTACATTTTGCTTCCTAGCAAAGTTATAAACATTGCTGGGAAACACATTTACAGATACTGATTTTCCATTAGATTAACAAGATGGAAAGATTTGATTGAGAAATTTCATTTAAAAAAGTAATGAAAAAAAATCAAAATCCGCTTCATATATACGCTATTGATATTTTTATCTTTTAAAATTATATTTTCAGAGTCAAATGATGTCAAAAAAATTTGACCAAAATAAATATTTTCTATAAATTTACGAAAATGATAATTTCATTTTGTTTCCCGGCTAAGATGCAGATATTGCAGAGAAACACATTTACAGTTACCGTTTTCCCGTTAATTTTACGATCTTTTAATATTGCACCTCCATATTCTTTTAACATTTACTATTAATCTAAAGTTGGAAATATTTTGTTTCCTACTTTAAGTATTATCTAGAGTTGGAAATATTTTGTTTCCTACTTTAAGTATTATCTAAAGTTGGAAACATTTTGTTTCTTAGGAAAGTTATAAACATTGCTGGGAAACACATTTGTGGATATCGTTTTCCCATTAGATAAATAAGTTAAATATATAATAAATAATAGATAATAAGTTAAATATATAATAAATAATAGATAATAAGTTAAATATAATAAATAAGATAAAATTTGTGTTAGAAATGTTTATTTAATAGAGAATTGAAAAATCTAATTTATCCTCAAATTTACAATATTGTCTCTTTTATCTATATGATTTTAATGTTACACTCCCACAATCTATTGATAAACGAATATTTCTTCACAAACGTTGCTGGGAAACACATTTATATTTACTGTTCGATCAGCAAGATCAAACAAATGAAGTTTAAGAATAAGATTGTACATTTTTCTTATTTTGAGAATTAAATAAAAGCGTTAATTTTATTACTCTCGTAATTTAACGCTATTATCGGTTCTTGTAATTAAATTATTTACCTGGTTGTAGAAGTAATAACTGAGCAACAGCTTGAATTGACCCAGCTGGATTTGTAGCAAAACACTGATAAACTCCAGCATCAGACCGGACTAAACCAAGAACTTTGAGATTGTAACCATTCACAAGCTTAAAATATTCACTCTGAACAATGACGTCACCGTTCTTTAACCAATGGACTTGTGGCTCTGGTTTACCATACACTTCACATTCAAGCTCAACATCCTCTTTTTCGTAAGCATATACTGTCTTAGGCTTCTTGGTAAATCTTGGCGGCACTGAAACAATCATAAAATCACAAATTTGTTAAAGATTATAAATGTTTTAAAGTATCCGACTGGGGGTGAAAATCGGCAATATTGAGAAATATATTATAATTTTTTTTATTATAATTTAAACTTTAGTTCATTAGCTTTCCAAAACCCATTAAAATTTTTATCTCTGATTTTTATAAATGAAATTACAGCTGTATGTGAAACCGGAATTAAACTTGCGAAAACGAAGCCTAAATGATTTTTTGTTTTGCTATGAGTATTTGAAACCTTAATTAGTTAGAATAAATGAAATTTTAAGATGAATAAAATTCATTTTCAAAAATAAGTTTTTGAACCATTACTTTTTTTGTTGCCAGTATTTTCCTACGTTTCTGAATTTTTCTTGCATTTTAAATGTATTTTCTGAAAAACGTGGATTTTGTAAAAATTTTATTAAGCTAACACGTATTACAAAAAAATTTTATTAAAGAATTCTTTGAAATTTTGAGCGTAGATTTTGTATAGTGTTACCGATGTTTTGAACTAAAAACTAAGGTCTAAGTTTGAATTTGTTATTTTTATCAAGCTTTAAGTATTAACATTTAGAATTTTTCTTTAAAAATTCTATATTAAACAATGTATTTAATTCCATTTCATTGTTTTTTAATGTTTTTAAGGTTTTAGTTTAAAACACAGGTAATCGCATTATTGATCTCGAAAAAAATTTGGAAATTTATGCATTAGAAATTTCTTCTTATTTTGAAAAATATTTTATAGATTTTTAAACTAAGGTTTTATAGATTTTTAAACATTCCAAACAAATAAAAATTCTCATTGAGCTTTTTTTTTATAAAAAAAATGTGCCGACATAAGTCGAATTTCTTAAAGTGCAAAACAATAATTCAAATACTACTTTTCATTCATAAAGATTTTATACAAATGAGAAATAAAAAAAATTATACTTGCATTGTAATTAGTTGATACAGTAGTTTATCGCTTAAAGTGTCAATAATTACTATGTTTATAATTTTTGTCATCAAATTAAGACAACAAAAATATTTTACACTGTTGGAATAATGATAAAATAGAATAGAAACGCCTCAGCTTTCATTGACGCCCATATTTCATCCAGAAAATAAAATTGACTAAAAAGTTTTCAAATATACATGATACATAAATTCATGTAACAAAATCGATTTTTGATATCGGAAAACAATAAGAAAATAACTTCGTCCTCAATAAATAACTTTTATCAATATTATTTATTAAAATGAAAGTGAAAATACAAAAATTTGATATTTGATTCAGGAATTTATCTGAATTCTGTTCACAATTGCAATCATGAGGAAGAAATCTATATTGATTCAAATTAAGAACTTCTTCGACGATAAAATAAAATGAAAAGTACAGTTGTAGGTTTAAAGTTATACAAAATACCTTCAGTGAAATATCAATATTTTTAAATATCGTGATAACGATGATTTAGATCATATTCTTACAAAATATCCTAAATATGTCTCACGATAAACATTCAATATGAAGTAATTATCAACGAAGATAATATCGGGATAATTATTTCCAATTTGTGAACACGGAAATATGACCATTATCGTCAACGATATTTATAGGATACGAGTACATAGTCTTGAATCCGTAATTACCATCCCGTAATTATCAACAAAGATATCGTGATAATTATTCTTAACGATAATTATTGAACACGAGGATATGATCATAAGCGTCGATGGTATTTATAGGAGACGATAATATTGTAGTAACAATTTAAAATGATTAATATCGCATAAAACATTATCGCGGTAGTTATAGACAACGAAACTATTGTTAGTGTCTATTCTTACCCACTTGTATTAGCATTAATCGAGTTTGTAAAGTTAAGATTAACAAAAATATTTTTTCTTTAATTGAGTAACAAATATATTGTTTAATATAAATATAATGGAAATTAGTATCATGAACTTTGTCTAGGTCAGACATGGAGTTTAGAAATAACAGTTAATTGACAAAATATCCTTATATTTCGTGAAATATCGATATTTGTTTTGACATATCGCTTTAGTAAACTTATTATTTAGTGTGCCGCACTACATATTTTTCCTCATTTTGATTGATATGTATTCAACGCGAATCCGAAAGTTAACGTTTCTTCACCAATTCTTCAATGTTTAAGGTTAAAGAAACGGTCTAGAAATAAACATCAGACCAAAAATTTAAAAATATTTATGCGTTATGCTCTCGAAAGATGTATTCAATGATAAAAAATTCGATAAAGTTTGGTGTTCTCAGATAGATTTTCAAAATATTAAACACGGCTAATTTTAATTTTTATATCTGATATGCATTTTTAAACAACTTATATTCCATTTAATTTTGCGTTTACAGTGCCATCTATGAGACAAAGTGCTAAAACAATCGTTCAAATTGGCATACCTTTTTTAGGTAATCCGAATCTGCAATAAATAATTACAAAAATATCGTTTAGTGTATCTTTTTAAGATATTTCTCACGCTAATTTTATATTTGTAATCAGATACGTATTTAAATACTTTTTGGACACCCCATATGCTTAAGTCTAAGATTTTTATTAAGGCAGACTGGGTGCGATTGTTCTTGTTTTCCAGTGGCGCCATCTATAGCCAAGAATTCGACTTCTGCCACACCCATACGTCACACCCGTTTATAGGGCGGACCCATTCATGCATCCACAGATTCATCCACAGATCGTAATTTTGACCTGAATCAGAGAACGATCAATCTCCAATTCAGTACCCCCAGAGGCAATTATTTGTTATGGGAACATGGAGGACTTTGAGACTCGACAGATTTAATGTGCATCAGTCACCATTTACTACATGGAGAGTTTTCGGCCGGCAGGGATCGAACCCACGACCTCTTGAACATGGGCCCAATGCCCTACGATCCAGGCTATCCCGGCCCAGGTTTTTCTTAAAATAATGAATAGCCAGACGTGGATATTATTAAATACAAGACTTTCATTTAAGAGTACATAATATTAAAAACTGAGAATACCTTGAATTTCTAAAGAAGCACTTGAATCTACAGAATCTATGTGATTTTCTGCTCTGCACATGTATGTACCCTCATCGCCTTCTCGGGCAGGATCAATCAATAGGCTGCCAGCACCAATTATTCTGTGTCTACTTTCTGATCCTTCCCTAAGAATTAAATACTTGACAATAAAATGAAAAGTTGCAAATTAATTTCTGTTTTAAATATTTACTTTAACTGTTTCAGTATTAACAACGACAGTAAATGTTATGAAGTATTTTTAATTTAATTAATAGTTTACCGAAGAAAAATGAGAATATCGAAAATAATTTAATTATTAATGCCAAATTTCGTTTATTTTTATTAAGGCTGTAATTAAGGAAATTGCTTTGTACATCTTAAAAAATTTGTGTCACATTAACCTTTTAAATTTTTATAAATAACAAGCTATTGTTACAAAATAGGTTGTTAACAAAAAGAAATTCTTCTTTGTCAATTTTATTCAAAAATACTTTAAAATGAGAAGAATAAGAAATTTTGACGAAACATTTCCATAAAATGGAAAAGTTAAAGCATTTTGTGTTGTTTTCTTTTGAAGAAGTTCTTCTAAAAATGGTGGATTTAAGAATTGTTTTAAATTTTTAGTTTTAAACTTTTTGTTTATGAAAAGACAAAAGAAAATCAAGGTATTTTATGATATTTCCTTTTTAAAGACTATTACTGGCGGCATATCTAAATCGTTTTTTCATTTTATACGTAAGGTTTGTTTTGGAACAAAGGCAACTTCTGAGTTTTCCTTTAAGATTCTTTTACAAGTATAGTTTTTCTGGAAAAAAATCGTTTTCAACTTTTCCATCTTAAAATTTTAAATTTGAATAAATAAGCCATACCAAAATGTTTGGCGATGTTTTCTTTTGAAGAAACGATTTTATAAAAACTAATATCCATTTTTTTTTTTAATTTTAAACTTCGCTTTTGAAAAAATAAAATATATCAAGTTATTTCTAGATATATTTGTATTTGAAAAAAAAAAATTCTAAAAAAGGCGGCGAATCTTTGAAATATTTTTATTTTTGATTATAAACTTATGTAAGTTATTTTAAAACATTTCCTATAGAGCGTACGTTCCAACTAAAGTAATGCAATTCCAAATTTAAACATATTTCTGATAATAAATGTATAAGCGTTGAGTTTTTTCATGTTTCAAGATTAGGAAAGAACATCTTCATTCTAAGAGTAAAAATTTCTTAACGCGGATAATTTTCGTTTGTGATTACAGTTTTTAAAGTAAATGGTTGAGAGTGAAAGATAAAATAAAACTTACTGAACATCGATAGTTGCGGCGTCTTTCAGCCATGTGATTTTAGGGGTGGGATTTCCATTAGCAGCGCAATCTAGAGTAATGCTCTGGGACTCGACAACAAAAGTGCTTCTTGGAACAGCTATAAAATGTGGTGCGGATAGTTTATTGGCTTCAGCTGAAAATCGTTAAGAGAGAATTATGAAATGGAAGATAATAATAAGCCCAAAAAGATATAAATCACATGATTTAAACTTATTCTGATTGCAAGATAAAATATTAATCTTTAAATACATATACTACAAACTTTGACTTTGGGGGAAAAATAACAAAGCAAAATAATCTTCAGTTTCATTTTAAATGGAATAAAAAAATTTTTTATTGAAGAAACTGTAATTTTAAACTGATTTAATCTTGACTGAAAGGGAAAACTGATTTTTAACTTAATTTTTAAAGCAATTGAATCAAAAATACAGGTAGGTATTTGAAATATAATTGAAAAAACTGCAATTTTAAACAGATTTAATTTTGACTGAAAGAGAAAACTTATTTTCAACTTATTTTTTAAAACAATTGAATCAAAAATACAGGTAGGTATTTGAAATATATTTGAAAAAAACTGTAATTTTAAACAGATTTAATTTTGACTGAAAGAGAAAACTTATTTTTAACTTATTTTTTAAAACAATTGAATCAAAAATACTGGTAGGTATTTGAAATATATTTACGTTATGCACAATAACTATACTTGATAGACATAATGAAAATGTATGAGTTTTAAAGTTAAAGTTAATAAATTCACTAAATTCTTACTTAAAACGCAATCTTATCTTTAAGTTCAAAAATTTATATTAGATTTAAATGAAGTTTAGGACAAAACAAAATACATGTATGAGGGGCTTAGAGCAGTTTGGCGTAAAAATCACGATTTCTATGTAGGCAATGAGCTATTTCTATGTATTGTGCTGCCATCAATTAGAAATTCCGGAATCTTATAAATTACCTACCTATAAAATATACTTTGGAGCAGTTTTAAATAAAAATTCACACTTCGAAAAAATGTGGTTTAACACTATATTGACTCTAAACTTTCATAACTCCACTTTATTTACACATTTGCTATTCGGAATAATTTAAAAAAGAATTCTGTGAAAAATGTTTACTGAAAAAGACGACGATTTTCATGTAGGAAATAAGATGTTTCTGTGTATTATGCTGCCACCTAGAGGAAGTTCTGGAAATTTATTAAGTACCTGTCGGTAAACAGTACCTACGGCCAATTTAATGTGGGTATGTCATGTTTGGAAAAAATGGTCCTTATCACTAGATTGTTCCAACCTCTTCATAAGTTCACCTTATTTGCACACTCGCTATTCTGCCATGCAATAGAAAATCAACGTAAACGAGAAAAAACTCGAAGTTGAGAGGTTTTTTTTTATATATATTTGGTGGTTTTATATGATAAGCTACCTATTACAAATTTTTTTTACAAATAATTTTTCTATCGGTTTTTGGAAATTCTATTCTAATATTCATAGCATTCAATAGAAAAAAAAATGTTGTTAAGCCACTTTTCTCTCTATGTGGTTTTTTCAATTGCACAACAGTATTCAGAATTACTTAAAAAAATTATGTGAAAAACGTTTAACTCATATTGGCTTAATATTATGCTATTTACAGAAATTCCTCAATTTTAATTTTTCTAAATTGTTGGGGAAAATATTTAATAGAATTACAAGAAGAAAAAAAAACATTAAAATTTTCTGATTTCCTCTGTATTAATATTCGAATTAATTAAAATGCTCCGGAAATTTTTGAATTGATGATTATATTACATAATTGATATGATTAGAAAATGCTAGGGGAATAAATTTCTCTTCGAATTACCTGATATTTCGGATATAATCCCTAAGCAAGGCATAGATAATATTTGCGAATTTACTCTTTTTTTTTTGTTCGCGCAAGAGACACGAATTAATACTATTTATGCATTGTGCTTGCGGTTTTTTAAGTTTAAAGTAGTAACTTCAGACTGAATAGATGACTAATAAACTTCAGACTGAATATATTATTAAAATTAATACATTAAAAATTTCATTCTTATAAAACAAGTTTTGAAGCAAAATATGTAAGTTCTACAGCAAAATATCTATGTCCTCTTCTACACTAAAGTAAAATATGTTCTATTATAGTATATAGTATGTATTCTATAGTGTATTATAATACTTTCTATAGTTTATACGATGTAAAACATGCACATTCTATAGTAATTATGTCTGAAAAACGAAGATTTCAACTAAATGTGGTTTAAAAAAAACTTTTACTGAAACAGTTTTAAATCAAAATAAATAATATGCTGATAAGATGAATTAAATTCAAAAGAATGTTGAATACTAGATTTTCTTTTTAGCATAAATTACTTCGAAGAAATAAAGGTTTCTAAGAAAAGAACATATTTTCAAGAGATTTTAATCAGTAAAAGGCAAAATCCTCGTATTTCTTTAGCAACAGTTAAATTGCGTGCAGAGAAGCAATTTCAATTTTTAAGCTTCTGACTAAATGGCTACTAAAAGATATCTGTAACCGTTAAATTAATGACAGCCATAAAACATTCATGTCGAGACACGTGTTTTTAATCGGATATCTGCATATTGTTTTTTTTTTCTTTTCCAAAAGATCTCCATGCAAACCATTTTAACCTAAATAGCGAAATGCTTTTTTTCATGAATTTTGGTATCCAATCAATCTTGAGAGAGTTAACTATGAATCTTCTTAAAATTGCAAAGGGATACGTGAGAACGCTTTGAGATTTTTAAATAAAAGATATCGCTTTACAATTTTATTTTATTTTTATTTAAAAAAATTGTTTTTGAGGCATGCGTTTAAATAATAGTACTTTTCTATAAGGAAAACAATTCCTTACTTAAAAATGTTTTATTTCATTGTATTAAAATAGATAAGAAATTAATTAAGAGGGTTTTAGTCTCAAAAATATTTATTTATTTATTTTAAACCGAAACGGTGGCACTTTAATAGAAAATAATAAATAAAAAAACATTTCTTACATATTTTTAAATAAAGCATGAAAATTTTAATTTTTCAGTTGCAATAAATTTTAAATAGTCATAATCATAAGGTATAGGTTTATTATTGTCCTAAACTTTATTTGAGTGTAATAAGAACTTAAAAATAATTGCACTGTAAAATTTTTGCCACAAGATTTTGTGGCAAAAAGTGTTCCATATTTATTTTATTTCTCAGATAATATTTTATTCACATATTATTCTATTCGTAACAAAACTTGATTCTACTTAACAAGACAAATTCGAATATTTAATTTCTGGATTTCTTTAATATTATATTTCAATGCTTACCATAGTCCAAACTGACAGTGAGTGTGCCTGAAGAACTGATTCTGTGCCTTTCCACATTCGAGGCGTTGCATTTGTAAGTTCCACTGTCCGTCGACTGGACATTGTGAATCTCCAGTGCACCGCTTGGTAAGAGGGTGAATCGATCTTTTTCCATCCTCAGCATTCGATCATCTTTATACCAAGAGATAACGGCTGGAGGATGACCCTGGATGGAACAAGGGAAATATGCCGTTTGTCCAGGATAGACTGTGATGTCGTGGGGTTGTTCATCGAATCGGGGGAGATCTGAAATTTCAAAGTCATTATTTCACGTTCCCCTTCTTTTAATCCATGATTGTCTTCATAAGAACGGTTTTATAAAAAATCATGTTTCGCTCACGTGAAATATTTTTCGACTTAAATTTTACATTAATTAAACTATGAATCTCCAATTATTTCAATAATTAGAGTTTCAGAATTGTTTTATCTTGAAAACTCGCACAATTTTAGACTTTTAATACAGGGGTGCAAAACCTGTGGCCCGCCGACTGTTGATGTGCGGCCCGAGAACACAATAATTTCTGAACACAATAGTTTCTTTTTTGAAAAATAATTTTTTTCAAAAAAAATCTTTTGAATTTCTCTTCACAAAATATTGAATCTTACTATATACTATAATAGTTTAGTTTTAATTCCTGGTTTTTGCTTAAACCCTATAAATTTTACTTAATTAAAATATTTCAAATATATATTACTTATGAAAATAAGTATATATGTAGTTTTTTACACATTTATTCTAGTTTTTTTTTGTTAGAGTTTATAGTACCTCTTTTCTCAAATATATATATATACAATACATGCATATTGCTTAGAAAGAAACATTTCTTTTCTTTATAATTTTTTTTATTGAATAAATTTTAATAATTAAAAGCATTTAAAATTCGGAAAATATGTTGCTAAGTTTACTGATGAAAATATTTATTGTTCAGAACACCAATCTCAAGATGTAAATTATCATATTTGCCTCCAACAAGACTACTCTGCTGTGAAAGTGGCTCTTTACTCAAAAATGTTGTGAACCCTTTTTATAATCGGTTTTTTTATTTGTTATTTTGCATTGCGTTTAAGTAGCATAGGAATTTTATAGCTTGTCCAAAGAGAACAAGTTTTTAAAAAGTGCAGAATAGAATACATTTCCAGGTAAGATATATTTTAGTGATTTTTAAGTAAATGAGACATATTAATAAACAAAATATTGTTAAAAATTGTACTTTAAGTAAGAATAGATTGATCTTTAAGTTCTGAATCATAGAATATCGAATATACTTCTCCGTTGCTAAAAATTAAGCCTGAGATAATTATAAATAACTTTTTAAGAAAAGTAAATGTATTGTATCATATTTATAAGTTTCAGAACACATTTTTTCAAGAACAATGATAATAACATGATAAAACGTTTTTAAACTAAATTAACTTATGTAAATCGAAACATCTCGATAGTTAAAGTAAAATCCGTGACTTACTGGCAATGTGGAGTTTGGCGGGTTTGCTGACTATGGTTCCAACTTCTGGGAGTGAAGCGACGCATTGGTATATTCCTTCATCGGGTCTTTCGTTTCGTGTGTGATGGACTTCACTGATGAACAGGGATCCGTTTGACAATAACGACCTATTTCAAGAAGAGGATATCAGAATAAATAATTACATTCAAAAAGTTGAGAGAAATTGTGGTTGTCAACTGTCCTGTCACAAACTACAAGTTTTATTAAGTAAGTTATTTATTGACATGTTACCGCTAAAGCTCGAAAGCCGGTAACACTTTTAAAATTTTCATTCTAAAATTAATGTAAAATAACTATCAGCAGTCCGTCCATCTAATTAACAGTAATGTGTTTACGGTAAAGAACATATCGTCGCTTTGAAACTAAACCGTAGTAACTTAAAAAAAATCGAGATATTTGGGTCAATTTGTGTAAAAAAATCACCCTTTTAGAGAAACAACGTGTTGTCTTCATAAGTTCCATAAAATTAATTTAGAGATCAGATAAATCGTCATCGCATTGGCGCGATTCACTATGAAAACTTAGAAATCGCTCTCCTGAAAAACTTGCTTTTTTGAGTTACCACGGTTTAGTTTCATAGCGACGATACGGTTTTGAAACAGTTTATAACTAGTATGGTTAAAAAATCATGAATACAAGACTAAACGGTTTTTTAACAATTTACAACTAACATGGTTACAAAACCGCAATAAAGAAATTTAACTGGACAGTGGAGCTAGGCTTTTCGTTAAGTATAGGACATTGGAGTTAACTGACGTGGCTTTTTTGAGTTACCACGGTTTAGTTTCATAGCGACGATATTTTACCTTTACGGTTTTGAAACCGTTTATAACTAGTATGGTTAAAAAATCATGAATACAATACTAAACGTTTTTTTTAAACCATTTACAACTAGCATGGTTACAAAGCCGCAATAAAGAAATTTAACTGGACTGTGGAGCTAGGCTTTTCGTTAAATAATGGACATTGGATTTAGGTTGTGGTTGAGTTGTGGAACCGTGGTAATTGTTTTAATTAGTTTATAAGGCTGTTTAATCTATCGTAAGAGATTGGAATACTAGACTTTTTTGTGTTAAGCAGGTTAAAGGTGCTGCCATCTATGTGCTTATGAGTGTATCGTATTCTAATAGTCCGGGTTCACAAATTGGAGAGTGTAGGACACTGAAAACTCTTCATGAGTTGGACGAAATATTGTGGTGTTAACACTGAGACACTAATTCCCGTTCTGTTGATCATGAGATTGACATATTAGCCATCTCGGTTATCATGAGTATCCAGCTACCAAGAAACTAAGTAGCTTCATTAGGTGGGCCTAGTTGGTGCAATAAAATTCTGGTTGTTTACCCGTATAAGGCAAAGAACGGTTTTTCTCACAGTTAACAATTTGAATACCATCTTATTTATGGTTATTTGACTGTTTTGTTTGAATTGGGTAAAAAGAAACAAAAAGCAATTAAGTAAATTGTTATGTAAACAATTTTCTCAGAAATTTTTAACAGTGAACTATGCACATTACTTAGCTAATCTGCATTCAGTGATGTCACTTCCACAATTTAGACATAGATCTGAAGGGGAAGGAAATTTTCTCTATATCACTGTACCCATGGTACTGCTCAGTGACCGACCACAGGACTTACGATTTCACAGATTTAACAAGCATTTATATCGCATGTTCTAGGTAACCACTGGACTGCCATGGACTAGATCTCCCAGAAATCCAAACATTAAATCATAAATTATTTTGTAACTTAATTTTTCTCGCTGTTTTTATGTTGTAATTGTAAATAACTTATCACTTAATGGGCTGAGTTAATCTTTAAAAAAAGCATTTACCTTCTGGTGTCTCCGATGAACTGAACGGTCGTTCCATCTCTCCTCCATTCATATGTGGGTGAAGAAGGTCCTTTGGCTGAACAGTTCAGAAGAACTTGAGCATCTCGAACTGTCACAATGTCAGATGGTTCAATGGTGAAGTAAAGCTCTTTAAGGATTGCCGATGAACCTGCTGAAGGAAAATAAATAAATAATCAATTAATCAAATAAATAATCAATTAATCAAATAAATAATCAATTAATCAAATAAATAATCAAGTAAATAAATTAATCAAGTAATAATTAATCAATCGAATAAATGAATAATTGCTTTTTGCTTATCTTATATTTCAACACAGTGGTTATAGGTTTCTTGATTAAAATTACAGAATAAATTATATCTATTATAATATAATAAATAAAATTTATTATATTTTGTGAAAACTATTTATAAAGTCATTTATAAATAGTGGTAGCACAAAATAATAGATTTGACTCATATCGTGCTTGAACTATTTCTCAGAAAAATTTCTAATTAAACCAAAATACATGGTATTTAAGCCATTGTTTTGGTATTTTTCCCGTTCATATGGTAACGGTTTACCGGAAATTCTGGTTCCCAAAATTATAGTCCTTATACAAACACATTCAGTGAAAAATACAGAACTGAAAAGTAAATTTAATCGCGTAAATGGATCTTATGCCATGTTCCACGGTATCATAATAAAAAATACCAAATTTTACCACATTTAACAAATTTTTTCGCATATTATACCAACCATATTTTCTAGTTAATTTTATCAAAATCAGCGCTTTGGGTAAAAATTACTGAGCTTTTTGGTGTTTCCATAGAGCCATCAGAAACACGGTAAATTTTATCATATTCTAGTAGTTTTGACCATACCTTTTTCTCAGTGGCTTAAAAGTAGATTTTTATAGAAGAGTCATAATAAAAATCCAACTTATTACAGTATCACCATGTAAGTCGTACTTGTTTAAGCAATAAATATATGTTTAAGATAAAACTATTTTAGTAAAACGAAACTAGACGGCAATGTAGAAATTTATTGTGTGTATAAAGTATCATAAAAAGTTTTCTTGTTGTTTTATGTGAAACAATTCGTATGGCATAACCGGGATTTTATTCTAAATTATTTGAGCAAAAACTTTTTATTTATATTTGCTTTTTTAAACAACCATATTTTTTTTAATATCCTTTTTTAATGAAAACAAATAAATACTATAAATCTTTCTCATATAAGGTAGTATATTACACTTAAAAGAACAAAGATTCCCTCTTGTTTGCTTAGAAAATTTGTATAGAAAATATTAGTCATTCCATATTTTAAAAAAAGTTGGGAATTTGATGAATAACTAAGAACAAGTGAACAAATAATCAAATTTAGGAATATTTTTATAAAAAGCGAAATAAAAATAAACACTAAAATATAGCTTGAAAATGTTTTTTGAGAAATAAATTTTACCATTTTTATTTTGATAATCGATATTTTCCCTTCAAACTTTCTTTTATCCACTGCATTCAAGAGGGTTTGGCTTGCCTTCTCTTATTTATTTAATTAAAGATTCCAACCGAATTTAAATTGGATTTAGCGTTGTTATAGAAACGAAACTTAAATTTTTTCTTGGTCTTGAGTTAACTGAAAAACCTTTCGTTTATTGCAAAGTCATTAAAGAAAGTGATCGACATACTAAATCAAAAACAGCTTTACTATTGATTGTTAATTCACATGCAATAATTTTAATGATTTTAAATTTATAAATATAATTTATAATTATTCATTGTAATTTTTAGCATCGATTTTTATACATTATCGATAAACCATAATGAAATGTTAACTTGATTTTATATATGTATGTCAAAGTATGTATGTTTAACTATGCATGTCTGAGTATGCATTATACCTACAGTAAAACCTGTTAATTTGGCCAACTGCCTAATTTGACCTCCATTATCGAAAACTGAATTTATTCTACGTAAAAAAAGAGGGGAAATTTTTGCAACCAGACCACTTGTCTATCCCGTATGTTGACCATTGAAATGAGCCAAATTTATCTTGGAGTTCTATTGAATGCCATTCTAAACCCTTTAAGTTGACAAGAAAGAAATTTTTTTTCAGGACATTTTCTTTTTTATATGTTATAAATTAAAATTTCACTAAAGTGGAGAAATAGTATTATAAACTAGCTAAAACATCTCTGTTCGTTGATTACAAAAATTTTAGAAAACAGAACAGAAATGAATGCTTTAAATACCGTATAATTTGATTTTATTAACCAGATTTATTTTATAACCGAAACTGAAATTACCATATAGTAAGGTAATTTTAACAAGATTTTTTCTCCGTTTGTGATTGTATCGAAACATGGTAAGAGTTAAGTAACATGCTCTTTATAAGTTAAAATCATTTCTACAGTTAAACAAAAATCATTCATTTAAATAATATTTTAAACTTGCACTTTAAAGGGATCATTTGAAATATCTAAATATTTTGCATCTTTCAGTTCTCATAGTAAATGTGAGTAATATATTTGAATAAATACAGTAATAATAAAAGAAGTCAACAAATGCTTGAACCATTTTTTACAGAAATTAACAACTAATAAAATGATAAATGATAAACAAAGCTGAAGCAGATGTTGATTCCCATCTATTTTTGAATAAAGAAAGAAGTTTTCTAAGGTTTTTTGGTTATCATAAAAAAAGAATTTTTCATTGTTAAGAAGAATTTATTGTTTTCATACATAAAATTTAACTTTAAGTTATTACAAGACAAATGGTAGAAATTTTTCAAAAGTGTTTCTTCGATGCTTTGTAAACTATTATTTATAAAGATGAAATACAAAAATATATTTCAGACTTATTTTTTCTTAGGAAAGGAAAAAAAAAGAACATAAAAGAAGTTTAAATGCGACCGCTCATTTGTTAGCTTTTGCAAACAATTCGAAATATACAGCATGTCTACTAAAAGATTATTTGCTGCAGTTTTTAATAAAATATTAAATAAGAAAGAGTTTTGTTTTGGTTTTTTAATGGCAGGCACTGAACTTATCATTCTTCGCCAAAGAAGATGCCGAAAGTGTTGCTCATTTAGCGTTACCTGGTGGGCACCTCTGAACAAAGTCACGGAGGGAAGCAACATTGCCCATGCTGCACTGCCACAAATACCCCTTCATAGGGTGGGCCACATTCACACAACAGAGGACTTTCATGCCCTGATTAACTTAACTTTCAGTTTAATAATCTGATTTTATTTCTCAAAATGCATTCTTTTCGTCTCTAAGGTGTTTAGCAAACGCAAACATGTTATTCAAATAGAATACCTTAAATATGCTAACTAATAGGTGCAGGCGTTATTTTAAGTAAAGTAATAGGGCCAAAAAGTGGGCCATACATAAGAGAATTAAAAAAGCGATAGTTGTTATTAAGTAACAAATAAATTAAGTTTTCACCAGAGAAAAATCCTTGTCCAGTTGAAAATAATAAAACTGCTGAAAAATTTCTAGAAATTCTTATCGTTTTTAGTAAAACATGTTTCCTGGGGAGTTCACCGAACTAACATTTCGACATATTTAGCAAATTACTAACTTTGTAAATTTTAGGATACGAATTTCGTCAAAAGCTGTAGGCTCCATGCAACATAATGATTAACACAATTGATCCTAATTGATTGAATTAGTTGATTAAAAAAAGACATGAATAAAAAAAGTATGAATGAATGAGCATTCATTCATAACCAGAAATCATCAAGCCCTGAAAAAAATTCCGGCATAATCATATAACGGCTAAAGGCACCGGCGCTCAGGGTACCGGCACTTTTTGACGTAAAATCCATTTTTAACGAAGCGTCTTACCAGGGGTCTGTCTAGGTTTTTCTGAGAGGTACCTATTTTGTGAAAATTTAGACATAATTTGTGAAAAATTAAAAATTATACAAAAAAATCAACACAAAAATATGGTCAAAATATGGATTTATCGTTTCTTAAGGGATACAAAAATAAAATTTTAAGAAAAAGTATTTTGTGAAACTACCGTTTTTCCAAAAGTTGAATTTGTGAAGGTACCACTAAACGGTAGTAAATTCGGCCTGGACAGACCCCTGCTTACGGAATAAAAAAAATCTGATGAACTGTAGTTTTTACAAGATTTACAGTAATAATTTTAGAGCTAAATCACACTAAGTCAATAATTGCTACCGTAAAAATTACGGTATAATACTTTACGGTAAAAATGGATTTTACGGATGATGCACCCAAAGTGCCGGTATATAATAATTTATCAGGAATTTTTTACTATGTAGCAAATGTACCAGCTATACCTTTATACAGATCACGCGCTTTTAAAATCAAATTAAACAAAAAAACAAAATGTTGGAAAATCAGCAGTGGGGCCATTGTGTATGAAAAGAAAACTTCCATGGTTTTTATTCTACACTAATCTATACTCATTTTTCAGCATACTTTACTGTAAAATTAAATGTTTCTCTTGAGTAGAAGTTACATTCAACAGTAGCAATTAGCAAAAAGACTTAGCATAAGCCTCAAGAATGAAACTCTCCAAAATCAACATAAACACCCTGAATGCAGGAAACAGTTTCGCCCAATAATTGTCCAAAATAACATGATTCCGCGATGAAATTATTTTAAAAAATAAAGTGCTCAAGGATTGCTGAGTCATTAAAAGGGCGAATTTTATTTCAGAGAATGCAAAGGAAATAGATGCAAAATTAATAATGGACATTTATGTATACAACATAAAGCAAAGACATATGAGTATAAAACCTATCGAAGTTTAAAGCATAGCGTATTATAAAAGGATTATACGCAACGATATTTTATCAGAGGTGACATGATAAAACAAATGAACTGACATAAATATATAATTAAATGCAAAGATAAATGGGATTTGAATTTTTTTTTCCGCGATTCCCCTTTCCCGTCACGGTGAAGATTTAATTAGGATAAATTTAATTATGAGTTGAGTATAATACGAGAAAGAATGAAAAGTCAATATTTTTAAGCATTAAGGGGAGGGGAAAACATTGATTGTTTTACTTTTTTTTAAAATTACGACAAATGGAACATTAGAGCTTAAGAGACGTTTCCCCGAATATTTTTAAAAATTAATATTTTCACAGTTTCGAGGAATAACTTCGCCTTGAGAATGGATTGGTA